TGTTAATGCTTATATCTTCTCATATTAATGTATAATTTGTTACTAAATCAGCACTACTACTCCATTTTGTCATAATATTTTGTGATAAAGAGAAATGTGGCATTCCGATATATTCAATAAAAATTAAAATTTCAAATGTATAGATACACGCACACGAACACAAACACACGCGCGAGCGCGCACATATACATACACAAATAAATTTGTCTCTATACGATGAAGCATATAAAATTAACACTTCATTATATTTATAATCAAGATCAATGATTTTATATCTAACGGTACATGCGCATGGGCCATAATAGTCCTATTTTACTCTACCGAGGGATATGAATCATGATTATAATGTTTGAACCGACAATGTAATTATTAATTGATTTAATGCCATTAGCCAAAGAAAATTTAATGCCAAACATTAAATGCGATATAAATAAAGCATTGGAAAATAATGTATAATGTTGGAATTATGAGTACAATAAATTATATAATAATAATTTATATAATATATTTAAATAAGAAATACGATGCTATTTCACCTAAGATGGTATATAAATTGAATAAGCCAATATCCATTATTAATATTGAATTAGTAATTAAGTTCAATTATTTGCATCAACATAATATATAAGAATTTATAGCTATGATAAAAATAAATAAGCACCGAGGAAGTAAATTATTTTTAACTTATTGTAAAATAGTTTTTAAATTTTCAGAATTTTGTTTTTCTTATTGTTTTGTTTATTTATTACAAAAAAAAAAAAAAAAAAATCATATCACGAAGTATAATAATTTCATGAAATCCTTAAAAATGTACTTTAAAAGCATAAATCTTGATTTTGCAGTTTAATTTTCCTTCTATAAAACGTCAATTCATTTCATCAAAAATTTTATTTTAAAAATATATTAGTAAGTAGAATGTTATTAAAAATGTTAAAAATGATTGCTTATACTGCTTATTGGCTATTTAATTTCGTAAGAATAAATTGAACTTAAAATAAAATCAATTGATGAAAATAATGAATAATTGGTATGTATAAAAGATTTGATTGAACATTAATTAAATTTGATTAAATAATAGAAAAATTTTTTTTGAATTGCGTAGTTCGTATAATTCTGTAAGAAATCATATTAAGATTTCTAAACAATGAAAACAGATTGAGCGATAAAATTAAATTTCCCATAAGGATTGGTTAAACCGAGACAACACAAAAGTTGAAGAATATCCCCTAATTAGAAAGATTTAAATTTTATAAATTTAACATTAGATTTTCAAAACAGATGAAAAATATTTTGACAACATTCAATTTAATATTAATATGGAATATGCTTCTATTTATTTTTTACAATGATTATAAACATTTTAAGAGAAAATAAATTTGTTATCTAATCGATCGTTTTAATGCTTTATCGTAGGAGTATTACATTACATAAAATTTTATAAAATACTGTCATAAGCATGCAAGTTTACATTAAATTGCCTAGTTGTGTAAGATTCCTTCATTTACACATATGTAAAATAAATTAAACAATTAAGGCTGACTTGATGGTAAAGAATCAGCGAAGAATGGCAAGACTAACAACGAAACTAACAAAATACACTATAAACAAACTTTTATATAGAATAAAGCCGATTCAAATTAATTCAATGTTAATTATGTTGATGATATTTTATTCTGTATTGTATAAATATTTTAAGTTATACTCAATATCCGTGTAAATAATTCAGTATATTACTATCTATACTTGGATTAGACGTTTTAAAGTGATTAAATATACTTGAAATTGTATTAATAAATTCTTGACGAAAGGTCCAATCTTATTAAAAAGTAATGTGCCCCATATAATTGGCAATTATCTAAAAAAGTTTTATTTTATTTTATTAATTTCATCTTATTATCATAGAACTTATCCATTTCATTTAAACTCGTCACAAATGCCAAAAATATTAATAAGTCCGGTCGTGTGAGCAAGCAATTTCATTATGTACGTTACGAATAAAATAATACGTTTCATTAATTAATTCTACGGTCGAAACAGTTAATGATGGATAATATAGAAAATTTTTGATTCCAAACTGTGTGTATTAATTTTTCTAATGTCAAGTTTACACTCATCTTTTATAATTCCTTCAATAATGTAATAAATATTTTTAATAAAACAATATTTGCATAGTGTAGTAATTAAAAGAATCAATTTCATTGTAATTTTGAGTGTTATATAATCAATTTGTTATACAATCAATCTCATACAAATTGAATATTTAGGAAATTTCATTTCAATATCTTTGGAAATTTATTTAAAAAAATTGTTTTACTAGTTTTTACAATATGCCCCATTTTATATACTTTTTATATCAAGAAATTATCTATTCTATTGTCAAGAAAAACTTAGCTCAAAGATTTTAACTGCTAATAATAATAATAATAATAATAATAATATAATCCTTTATTATTTTAATTGTAATAAAAATGTATTTCTATTTATATTTGATAAAAGATAATTTCTTTTTTAAATAGTATTCCGATATTTTATAGGTAATTCTTGCATAACTTATTTGATAAAGTATAAATTGTAAGCGAATTTAATACTAAAAATTATTCAATAAATAATATGTATTGAAAGATTTGAGCTCAATTTCTTAATACAAATTTTTTTATTTTTAATTTATCAAAGGTAGACACATAGGACTAAATTCTTTTATAAATAATTCAAAATAGAAATATAAAGTTCAGTAGAAGTAGCGTTTCCCAAAATACGAGCACCCGATGCATACAAAAATGCTTGCGTTTCATTTTTGCAGTTAATTTCAATACCCACTCACACACGCACACACGCGCGCGCACGCAGCATTTTTGTTGCCACAACTTTTTTTTTACCAGAATTGCTTTTTCGTTAAAAAATATTATGTTCATAGCAATAATAATAATAATAATAATAATAATAATAATAATAATATAAATAATAATAATAATGTAGCAAACAAATAAAATAAAATATAAGAAAGAATAAGTAAATTAATTCCTACAATAGATAAAGATTACATTAAAATAACTTGAAATTTGATTAAGTTGATCTCAAATCTCAATCTAGCGACACAAAAAATTGCAAAATCCTTATAAAATGGCTTTTAAATGGCTTCTTCAATTACATAAAAAATCACCGAGGCTCAGTTCATTTTTCGCACGTTAAATAGTATTACGGAATGCACAAAATGTGATTTTTTAAATGAGCAAAGACGATCAAACAATACAATATTATGATTGGCTAATATGAATTAATGCCAAAGAAAAAGTCCCAATAATGAAAACGCGCTTCCGTATAAGAGCAATCAATTAAGTACCTGATAATGGAACGAGAGGTCGGTGACTTTCCATGGACACTGCAAATAATACTTGAAATATTGAAAAAAGCAAGGAGCATGTAACGTCAGGTAAACCAAGAGCAATGATAATAACAATAATAACAACAATAATAGTAATAGTAATAGTAATAGTAATAGTAATAGTAATAGTAATAGTAATAGTAATAGTAATAGTAATAGTAATAGTAATAGTAATAGTAATAGTAATAGTAATAGTAATAGTAATAGTAATAGTAATAGTAATAGTAATAGTAATAGTAATAGTAATAGTAATAGTAATAGTAATAGTAATAGTAATAGTAATAGTAATAGTAATAGTAATAGTAATAGTAATAGTAATAGTAATAGTAATAGTAATAGTAATAGTAATAGTAATAGTAATAGTAATAGTAATAGTAATAGTAATAGTAATAGTAATAGTAATAGTAATAGTAATAGTAATAGTAATAGTAATAGTAATAGTAATAGTAATAGTAATAGTAATAGTAATAGTAATAGTAATAGTAATAGTAATAGTAATAGTAATAGTAATAGTAATAGTAATAGTAATAGTAATAGTAATAGTAATAGTAATAGTAATAGTAATAGTAATAGTAATAGTAATAGTAATAGTAATAGTAATAATAATAATAATAATAATAATAATAATAATAATAATAATGATAATAATAATAATAATAATAATAATGATGATGATGATGATGATGATGATGATAATAATAATGATAATGATAACAATAATGATAACAATAACAATAATTATAATAATAATTATAATGATAATGATAATGATAATAGTAATAATGATGATGATGATGATGATGATGATGATGATGATGATGACGATGATATTAATAATGGTAAGGCACGTTACTAGTTGTAAGATCGCCTGATATAAAGATAATCAAAGTTACGAAGCCAAGTAAGCACAGATCGGCGCCTACGGTTTATAAAGCAATTGCGACTCGAATGTTGGATTTGACGGTTTAACGCGAAAAAGGCTCATGGATCGTCCGCGCGGCCTCTTCCTTCGCACGCGATCGCCGCTACTGTGTATCTACTTAAGCAACAGCAGCTCCCATCGTCTCGTCGTCGTTATCGCCTTTGACATAATCAGCTCGATCAAATAAACAAAAATCCGCTCTTCTCCAAAGCCTGCCGACAGCTATTTACATTAGCTTCTCTTGTGTGTTATTGTTTCGCAACTGTTAAGCGCCTCGGCCTGTCTCCCTTTTTTCGCCTCTATTATCGGCCGCTGCTCGGACTCGCCAGGGATTATCATCCGCCGCACCCGCCCGGCCAATTCTCCGCCCGGTAATACACATCCCAATGAGGCTAACGAGGCAGCGCACCGCGAGCCCACGAGGACAGCACGAGATCGGACACGCGCGCGACCCCGAAGACCGCGGTTAAAGTGGCTGAGCTTAGGCTGCTAGCGGCGGGGACCGGTGCTGGCGACTGAGATCGAAAGAGCCGCGGGGTAAGCATGGATTGGCCGAGGGCCCGATCAGGCGACGCGGCGTGCACGCGTCCAACTCGAATGGGCGAGGAGGATGAGTGGCGACACCGAGCAACTATCAGCCCTCCCGCCCCTCCCGCCCCAGTCTCGTCGTCATCCTCGCCCGAGGCGTCAACTCACCGGTGCCGGATCTTCCGCGGCGCAGTCGAGGCCGCGCTCTCCTCTTGGAGGTTAGGTTCTACGTTGGTCTTGTCGGACGTCATCCGGCCGCTCGTGGCCACCGCCGGGCCGAGCTTCCTCTCTGGATGGCAAACGCGCCCTACGGTACCGGATCCTCCACCCGGGCACCTAGCCACCTAGCCACCTCGCACCAACCACGCACACCTTCGATCCCGGCCTGCGGACTTACACACACTAGCTGCGAGACGACGACGACGGCCGATTGACGCGCGCACGCGACCCGAGGCTCCTCGTCTACTTCGCGCGTCGTTACCTTACCGGCCGGCCGCTCCCTCCTTACCGACCGACAACCCGAACGGCCCTAAGCGCGACGGACGTCGAGAGCTTGTCGACCTCGGGCGCTTGGCTTTGGCGCCTCCGTGCTTTTCACCCGGAGAGACTCGAGCCTCTTCGTAGACCGAGCGAAGCCACCTGGCTGCTGGATCGTTTTAAGGGAAGAGACCTCGGGCGAAGGATGAGTAGTCTCGGCATTAGTGTCGAGGCTTTGGTAGAGGTGCTTAAAGAGGTATGACGCCCGTTGGCTGGCCTACAAGTTTTATTTGAAAATTCGAAAACAACATTCGATAGTTACAGATTTATCTAAATTAATTCTGACCTTATTGTAAACAATTTTTGCTATTTTAGATTTTATTACGGTGATTCGTTCTTGCCTATCCATACTAAATCCTCACCAACCACCCAAAGCTCCTCACTCTTACACATTCTTATTATTAATGCTCACATATTTTTCTACAGATTGTACAAGGACTCTTGTGGAGAAGATTTAAAAGGAAGGCTAAATGTTACATAAAACTAGACTTTAAGATTTTTGATATAGATGATTTTTTTATCGTTCAAGTAACAAAGTGTAGCTCTGGTTTCCCAGATTTAAGAGTTTTATTTACAGATGCGCTGAAAAATCAACTGTCAAATAATCAAGACTTGGGTAATACCGATCTAATTGTTGCTACGGTTGAAGAAAAATCAACACCCGTAATCCTGACACGTAAAGTTATTTGTACCAAAGATTCTACATTTAAGATAGCTACCGAGGAAACGGTGAAGGCACAAAAGGAATATGTTTCATTAAAATGTTACGTCTCTATTAAGCTTTTGGTACATACATGTGTTTCATTTTTATAAAAACAATAATAATAATAATAATGATAATGATAATAATAATAATAATAATAATAATAATAATAATAATAATAATAATGATAATGTAGAAGATAAAAAAAACATACTCTAGACCCAAACTAAATTTATTTTCAGTTTCAAGTTAAAAGCATATATTTCCAAGAATTTTCAACATTACTTTTATCATATTTTAAGCAAATAGAAGAACTAGACTCTAATATAAAAATTCTATTTCGTAAAGATAAACAATATATTTATCGAAATCATGTTCGAATGGACGACATTATATTATCATGTAAAATTCTAAGCTCCTCTTGTACATGTATATTTCTCAATAGTCAAAATGATTTTCAAAAAGAACTCATGAATTTACTCGGCATAACTAATCCAGGTAATTTTGAGGAAACTCTTGGTTGTTTGTTATTGGCTCAAGTTAATAATAATTTCAAAGGACCCTGTATAAATAAAAGAAGACCAAAATAATGTGTTTTTAAGGAACAGTCGTGTCTATTATACTTTTATATTATTTGTTAGAGTTTTGACGATTAATTTCTAAACATTCTCTAAAGGTATCTTCAAACTTTTCTTTATGTTGGTCATTGAATAGAAATATTATATTTTTATTAGAAAATTTCATATACATAAATAAAATGTAAATCTTATGAATCGGTGCAAAATACATGGATTTAACACCACATCTTCTATCGTACCATTACTCAAATAAAATTAAATTTCTTAGCAAAAGTTATTTTTTGCTATATTTTATTCTACGATATGTCAAAACAATTTATGTCACACATGTATCATATACGATAATAAAATTAATTAAATTACTATGTAACTGGAAATATCTTTATTATTTTCAATTTCTTTTTTTTTCTTGTTTTTTTTTGTTTTTTTTTGTTTTTTTATAGGATAAGGATATAGGATAGATCACTTTAATTTAGCAATAAGAAACTTATTTTTAACTGTATAATTTAAGAAAATATTTGTTTACTCGGTTATTAAAAAATTTTGAGTCCGCTAAAAGAGCAAAAATTTTAAGGATTCTTAAAAGCTCAATGTACAAAGCACTTTTTTATAAGTATTATTGCAAAATTTACGTTTATAAAAATTTTATTGAATAAATTAGTATACTAGAAAATTTTAAATTTAATATTTTTCTCAATTTTACTTATTAATATATTTGTATAATATTGTTAAATATGATTAGATACTAGATGAGCTTAAAAACATTCGAATAATAATTTTTCATTTATCAAATGCCTACTATTATTACATTAAATTTATTTTCTATTATAATTCTCAAGTAAATTATTCAAATTGAGAATATTAAAGGAAATGTCAATACGAAATGTGACAGATATTAAGCAAACTATAAAGTATATTTATTTTGTACATTTTATTTATAAAATTTATTCTGTGTCGTATATTATATTAAATATAGACATATATATTATTAATAATGTTTAAAAATTGTAAATGTTTTTTTATTTATCAAAATAAGTGAAACATGGGAAAATTGTCGATAATAAATGACAAATTGCCGTAATCAATAGTATTGACAAAACATCTCCTCCCGCATAATGAATATTGCAAATAAGAAATAATTAAAACAACTTAATTTTAAAATGTAGCTCACACGTGCCTATAATTTAAGAATATTAAAAATAATTGATTTTTATTTTATATCCTTTAACAAAATATAAGTTAATGAAGAGAAAAATAATAATGCGTAGTAAACATTTACATGTCCAACTAATTTTAATTTTGAAAGATTTTTTTCGCCAATTCCCCAAAAATTCGGTTATTGTTATGTTAATATTCTACATGGCCCCTCTAAAACTTTAAACAATTACACTTCCAAAGTAATTTCAATAGTCCTGCTGCATTCATTTTTGTCAATTAATTTTCAAACTTTAATTCACACTTATTGGGAAAGAATAACATTTTTAAAAAGCATATTAAGCGACGTCATTAAGCTTTTTTATTTTAACACGTTTGTTTCGAAAACGAAAAAGAAAAAAAATAGAGAGAAAAAAACAAATGTTACAAAGCATTTATAAAATATGTATTTATTTGGTTCTTCATAAACGTAAATTTCCGTATAAAAATTAAAGCTAAGAAATGTTAAGCGAACCGTTTGAAGCAAACTATAATATTACATTTCTGTGATGTGAAATCGAAAATGACGATACTCGCGTGCTCAGAACACAAAAATATATTGAATCGTTAAATATAGTAGTACAGTTACTATTAATTTCTTCCAATACGATTTACGAATGCAAAATCGATAAATGCAAAAAAGCAGTCCCTAGTACACGTTCAGTAAGAGCCAAATGTACAAACATCTTGGAAAGAATTGTTCAATATTGAAGATATGCGATGTGGGTGCGTACAGGCATTTAACGATAAAATTTGGATAAAATTTTGATTTTAACATAAACGTGCTCATTTACAAGTAAAGTAAGGTCGTAGTAACTAACATTATCTCGCATTGCAAAACTTCACGGGCATTGCTTTAAATAAAGATTCCTAAGACGATACGTAAATAGAATTGAATTGAAATGACGAAGAAATGCAATAATTAACGTTCGCAATGAATCTATAACAAACAGTGCAACATTAATAACAGCGAGGTCGCCATATTAGTTCTCTCTCTCTCTCTCTCTCTCTCTCTCTCTCTCTATCTCTATCTCTTTCATCCTCCCAGTCAGTCCGTCCCTCGTCCCGTCCTTCTTTATCCGCGAGACAGGAGGCGAGCCAAATAAAACGGCCGAGACCATTCGTTTATGATCCTTATTTCGTCGTGATTGAAAAGGCAGTAACCGTGAGGGCGATCGGGCCAGTCGGTTGGCCAAGTGGGTCTCGGGCTCGCCGATCAACGAAAACGAAAACTCGGAACGCGCGAGTTAATAAAATAAAGGCTGTTGCGATGCGATGGTTCGGTCGAGGCGCAGGGAGCAGCAGCCGACGACCACCGAATCATTGTAATTCGTAAGCATCGTGACGTCTCGTGCGATGTTAATGCGTGTAAGGGGGCCGCGGAGGAGGCTGTTGTGGTGCGTTGCGTTGCGTTGCGTTGCGTTGCGTTGCGTTGCGTTGCGTTGCGTTGCGTTGCGTTGCGTTGCGTTGCGTTGCGTTGCGTTGCGTTGCGTTGCGTTGCGTTGCGTTGCGTTGCGTTGCGTTGCGTTGCGTTGCGTTGCGTTGCGTTGCGTTGCGTTGCGTTGCGTTGCGTTGCGTTGCGTTGCGTTGCGTTGCGTTGCGTTGCGTTGCGTTGCGTTGCGTTGCGTTGCGTTGCGTTGCGTTGCGTTGCGTTGCGTTGCGTTGCGTTGCGTTGCGTTGCGTTGCGTTGCGTTGCGTTGCGTTGCGTTGCGTTGCGTTGCGTTGCGTTGCGTTGCGTTGCGTTGCGTTGCGTTGCGTTGCGTTGCGTTGCGTTGCGTTGCGTTGCGTTGCGTTGCGTTGCGTTGCGTTGCGTTGCGTTGCGGTGCGGTGAGGGGACGACGATGACGGGGCGACGGCGAGGGGAAGGGACGTAAGTAGGGGGAGGGGAGAGGAGGAGGAGGAGGAGAGGACGAATAGAGGCGCGAACGCCGTCTACGTAGATAATGCGCTATGGCCAGGGCTATCGAGTCAAGTGTTGTCGCAGTGTCGCAGCGGACTGGCAGCTCGGCGGTCGCACGGATGATAAAGAGGAGCGCCACTGTCCACTCGACTGAACGTTCGACTGAATCGACTGATCTGAAGGCATCGGAAAAGTGTGCGTGGAAGGAAGCCTGCAGAGGAGGTGTGCGTGCGTGAGTGAGTGAGTGAGTGAGTGAGTGAGAGAACCAGCGCGCGCTCGCTCGCTCGCTCGTACGTGCGTTGGTGCGTTACGTTTGCTTTGGCATTCGCAACAGAGCTATTCGGGTAGAGTGGTAGAGTGATCGAAGAAGAAGACATCGTCGAATGTGCGCGAAGGTGTTAATAGGTGACGGGATGCGCGACTCCCTGGCCGTTCTCGTGTTTATAAAGTAGAGGAGGCCACTCGCTGGACGAATCGGAAAGATGTTGCGCTGGCGATTGTTGCCAGCAGCGCTTGGAGGTTATGTTCGCGAGGAGGACGACGAGGAAGAGGCGCCAAGGAAAGAGCTGCCACGATCGCTGTGCTAAAGGGCATTACGCTCGTCGGGGAGGCCGAGGGCGGCGTGACGAGCGAATCCACTCACCCGGAGCCTGCCCCCTTCCGCCCCCCCCCCATCCACTCACACGCCACCCCACCCCATCCTCCCACATTGGAGTACGGGGTCCGGGCGGGCAGCGATTTGAGCCATCTCCCGACGGGGACCCGCGCGCAGTCCCGAACCGCTTGTCGCTCATCCACGACGATCCATCCCCCTCAGGTAGCTATTGAGAGCCTAGTGGAGCGGTCCCGAGACAGCCTCGGGCCCTCGCCTTCCCTCTATCTCCTCTTCTATGCTCGGACTATGCGGGCTGCTTTAGTCCCGTCATTTGGGCGCCGTTACCGATCACGGCCCACGGCATTATTCCATCGTTTTTTACTGCCTCTGCTCATTTAGAGATGGGCGTGTTATGCCTGTGTTTACAAACGCGCAGCATGTGACAGCTGTTGGCTGCTACTACTGCTACTGCTACAGCTACTCTACTGGCTACTGCTACGGCTTCGATAGCCGTTACATAGGCGAATTCTCTCATTCGCTTTCGCCATCTTCTCCCGTTCATTTCCAATCGACATCCGCGACTCTATTCTTCCACCTCCTTCTTTCCTCATTCTTTCTCATTCCCATTCGCTGTATAATACGAACGTCAATCATCCTCTTCCTACATTCATGACTTCCCGTACTAAATGCATCGGCCCGACTCGACGAGTTCAGCGCATTTTTTCATTCTTAATGAATATAAAGGGGTGTGGGGTGGTGGGTAGGGGGGGGGGGAGAGAAGCAGAGAAAAAACGAAAAGAAAAGAGGAAAAAAAATTACGTTTTATCGCTGCTCGGTCCGCAGCATCTTATTTCATACGTTGATTTTTTTTTTTTTTTTTTATAGAAATTATTAATTAGCAATGATTAATTAGCACCAGACCTGATTATTATTGTAATTTTATTTACAAATCCTACGTATTGATAATATATTGCAATTGTTTCTCTTACTATATTATAATAGTCTTGATGTTTATTGGTTTCGGTTAATTACCAAATGAATCCCTATGAAAGTTCCTTTAAAGTTAATTTTGAAATAAATTTAATAAATTTTGTGTTTAGAGTAAAATGAAATGAGAAATAAAATAGGATAAAGAATTTACACACTATTACATATATTACATACGTAATTCTCAATTTGTACATAACTGTGTATCGATTATACCATTAACTGTTTCAATGTATTATTTTTTTCTCGCTTGTTGTTGTTACTTTCCCCCTAAATATAATGACGGAAACTTCACTCAACTAAACTTTTTTAAAAAATTAATAAAATAAAGATGTACAGTAAAGTTCGTAAATATTCTCTTAGTACTTATCCATTTACAATGAACAGTTACTTGTATTAGTTATTTTGAAGTACTTTTTTATTATTTGATAAAAATTATGTTATTGGTAATTTAATTTCTCTAGTATAAATGATATAGATATACTTAGTTAATATACTTAAACTAAGAGCTTAAGAGCATTTAAATTTCTTTTAAAGAACGATGAAAAAAAAAAAATAATAATAATAAATAACGCATAGATACAATAATTATTAAAAATTCTTGACAATAAATTCTCTTTTATACTGATTCTTCTTTCAATTGCATCAACTCATTCTACCACCTTTTATGAGCAATCTGAATATTATCTTCCACTTTGTCCTAGTTTGCCTCTAGCATTAACTTATATTTTTGCTAGTTGCAATTGTATATTTATATATATATATATATATATATATATATATATATATATATATACATATTTTTCATTTTTATGTGATATTAATAACTTGACAAGATTGTGGTTCCGTGGATCTTTTTCATACTATACTGCTTGCTGTACATTATTTTACTCTTTTATTATTTATAGAGATTTTTTTTCTAAAACGGCACGAACTTTCTTCCTATTATTTAATTTTCAATACATTTGACTTAATGGACAATATACCAAGAATTACAAGGCTATTGTGGTTCTTACTATTATTATTAATAGTAGTAGTAGTAGTAGTAGTAGTAGTAGTAGTAGTAGTAGTAGTAGTAGTAGTAGTAGTAGTAGTAGTAGTAGTAGTAGTAGTAGTAGTAGTAGTAGTAGTAGTAGTAGTAGTAGTAGTAGTAGTAGTAGTAGTAGTAGTAGTAGTAGTAGTAGTAGTAGTAGTAGTAGTAGTAGTAGTAGTAGTAGTAGTAGTAGTAGTAGTAGTAGTAGTAGTAGTAGTAGTAGTAGTAGTAGTAGTAGTAGTAGTAGTAGTAGTAGTAGTAGTAGTAGTAGTAGTAGTAGTAGTAGTAGTAGTAGTAGTAGTAGTAGTAGTAGTAGTAGTAGTAGTAGTAGTAGTAGTAGTAGTAGTAGTAGTAGTAGTAGTAGTAGTAGTAGTAGTAGTAGTAGTAGTAGTAGTAGTAGTAGTAGTAGTAGTAGTAGTAGTAGTAGTAGTAGTAGTAGTAGTAGTAGTAGTAGTAGTAGTAGTAGTAGTAGTAGTAGTAGTAGTAGTAGTAGTAGTAGTAGTAGTAGTAGTAGTAGTAGTAGTAGTAGTAGTAGTAGTAGTAGTAGTAGTAGTAGTAGTAGTAGTAGTAGTAGTAGTAGTAGTAGTAGTAGCGATAGTAGTAGTACTATTATTGATATTACTATTACTTTTATTATTATTATACATTTTATATATTAGTACAATATCAGTGCTTGATGTTTCAAAAATTGATTTTAAAATCATTCGTTCAGTCATTTCACATTTATTTTTCTACTTTTGCTACTAATTATCATTAACTTAAAAGTAACATTGTTATTTATCGATAATTTTTGTTTAATATATTTTTTTATTACCACCGTTCGTTTCATAACAATTTCTAATTTTATTACAGCTATATAAAAGCTGCTGTTTCAAATGAATATTTTTTTAATTGTCTTGTATTGTATGGACAACTTACCAGGACTTACCAATCTTCGATGAAATTATTATGTATTTTGCAGATCTGAAAATAATTTATTGCCTATTTCAAATTAGTCTGCCCTTTTTTATATTTCTTGTTTAAATGTAAGTCCTCGAACACTCATAAAAGTAATGTATTGAAACTCCCACTCGCCTTCTTGAATAATAGTGTATAATCAACAAAACTTCATAGTTAAATTTATCTCTAAGCATTAAAGCTTATTCGATCTATGTTTTATTTAACTAACATTCCGATAAAATTTTCTAATTTCTAAATCTATATTTTATGTGATACATTCATTTTTAATTTTAATAATAAAAATATCGTATTACGCCAATGTTTATTAAGAAAAAATAATATTTGAAATGGACCAAAAGTATATGAACGGCAATTTCAAAAGTCTTTTTTTTTCTTAACTCGACTATACATCGTTTAAAAATCCGTTTCATAGATGTTAAATCATATACTTCATTAGTCTTTTTTAAATCGATTTTAATGCCTTTTTAATGCAATTAATATTGATATTTATAATAGCATTAAAAATATAAATATATCATACAATACGTATAAATGAATATAAATTTCGAAACTCGCTTCAATTTGTTTCTATTATATTCGATATGTAAATTTATTAATTAATAATGCTTCGTAAATTCTTTTAAAATTCAAGAGTCTGGTGTATATTTATACTTGAAAAAAAAATGGAAAAAAGGGAAAAAATGAATTATACAAACTAGTTTTTAATCATACAATAGATAAAAGGTTAAATTGAATTTAAAAACATCATGATTAAAATTATATTTATATTATAAATATTGTAGAAATTGATAAACGATAATAATTAAATGTATAAAACGAGAAGTTCTTATTATAAGCAACAAATGAAAATATACGTTATTTTTTATGAGCAAATAATTTACCGAACCATGATCAAAAACAAAAACTTAAACTAAAAAATCAAAAACTAACTTTGATATGATATATACTGTGAACGTAATAAATGTATGTAAATATATTTAGATTAATAAGTGAAAATGAATTGATGAAAGCAACTTTACATTAATAAACGTATTAAGATGAGTGTATTAAATTAAAATAGCTCGTTTAATAACGACTAAACCATACGTTTCGACAGTGCTATAGATGGAAGCACGCGAGGAAATTGTCATGTAAGCACGAATTAATTGAGAATATTTGCATTAGCATATACTCCTCGAGATTGAAGGAATTTTTCTTTTTGATAAAATGTTATAACTATAAGAAGGCCTGACTTCTTACATAAATCATTCGTTTGCAAAATGATGAAAAAGTAAGGCTTTTGCCTTGGGAAAGTCGCACTGTACAGCATAACGAGAGAAGATGTACAAAAAAGAACGATTGCAGGTATCCGGTCATGCCAGCACCAGAGAAGCCCAGAATGAGAACACGTCGACCACGCGGCTGAGGAGTCCCGGGTGCCTCGGAGCCGCCCGATGAAAAGACTGCACAGGATGCCCGGAGCCTCCCTCGACAGAGCACGGGCCTGCAAACTCACCGAGCTCGAGCCCCGCACAGTCAAGGTCAGGACGAGCCACCGGCCCTTTCGCTTAAGCCCCATTACCATAGCCAATAACCGCTTAATCGTTCGATACGACCGACAGGGCTCCGAGGGATGCAACAGCGGTGGCGGAAGCGGCGGCAGCCGCGCCTCCGGCCGAGGTGAGCTCGGGCCCAACGAGATGGGCAGCGTCGCTCGCTTCCCCAAGCTCGACGAGTGCGCGCACTTCCATTACGAGCACGTGGAGCTCGGGCAGCTGGAGGTCTCGATGGCCGAGACCGGCGAGCCGGACAGCTTCACCGTGCGCGTCACATCGGGCGACGCCTGCTGGACCCTCCAGCGCAGCCGCGAGGAGCTGCTCATGCTCGACCGTCAGCTGCATCGCTGTATCTTCGACCGCGAGTTCTCAATGCTGCCGGATCTGGAGGAGGAGCACGTGGAAGCCGCGGCGGAGACCCTCGAGCGGCTACGCGCTTACCTGCGCCGCTTCTCCGAGCTTAGCCACGAGGGCCTCAATTGCGGCCCAGTGCTCAATTGGCTGCAGCTCGACAACCGAGGCCGGCGCATCCTCGTACCCGAGGCCGATTCCTGTCCGATAAACACGCCCGCTGTCGCTGCAGCCTATGCCGTGCGACCATATCGGGCCCAGGCCCAGGACGAACTCTCTTTCCAAATCGGCGACATGATATCCGTTATCGACATGCCACCCGCGGGTGAGAGCAGTTGGTGGCGGGGCAAGCTCGGTTTCGCCGTTGGCTTCTTTCCCGCGGAGTGCGTGGCCGTATTTGGCGACAAGCTACCGCGTCGCTTGGCTCTCGCGACCTCCGGTCAGCAACCGCACGAGCGACTCCAGCCGGGGCGACTCCAGCCGGTCAAGCCGGTGCTCCGTAAACACGGCAAGCTCATAGCCTTCTTTCGCTCGTTCATTCTTAATCGACCGTCGCGGCGACGCCTCAAGCAATCGGGCATCCTGCGAGAGCGCGTCTTCGGCTGCGATCTCGGTGAGCACCTGCTGAATTCCGGTCGCGAGGTGCCGTGCGTCCTCAGCTGCTGCGCCGAGTTCATCGAGCGCCACGGCCTCGTCGACGGCATCTACCGGCTGAGCGGCGTCGCCTCCAATATCCAGCGGCTGCGACACGCTTTTGACGAGGACCGACCGCCGACTCTCCAGACCGACGGAGGCATCCGTCAGGACATCCACTCAGTCGCCTCCCTCCTGAAGATGTACTTTCGCGAGCTGCCGAACCCCCTCTGCACCTACCAGCTGTACGCGGCTTTCGTCGGGGCGGTACGGCCCGCGGGCGAAGCCGAGCGATTACGGCGGATGCGCGAGGCTGTGCGGGAGCTACCACCGCCGCACTATCGCACCCTCGAATACCTAGTCCGGCATCTGGAACGCGTGGCCGCGCGCGGCGACGAGACCGGCATGACGGCGCGTAACCTCGCCATCGTCTGGGCACCGAACCTCCTTCGCTCGAAGGAACTCGAGCTCGCAGGCGTCGCTGCCCTCCAGGGCGTTGGCGTTCAAGCCGTCGTCACGGAGTTCCTCATACGTTACGCGGAGCTCGTGTTTGCAGCCGCGGGCCAGAGGCCCAAATCCCTCGCGGTCGCCGCGGGCTCGAAGCGTCTGCTGAGCCTCGAGGAGGCGCGGAATCGCTCGCTGCCCGCGGAGCCGGCACTCCTGGAGGTCGGCGCGGGATCGGCCGGACTTCCGGCTCGCTACCACACGATCATCGAGCTGCCCCCGGGCGGACAACCTCGTCGGCGCGGCGCTGGCGGCGGTGCTACCGGCGGATCAAAACGCTCGCCCTCGCTTAACTGGCGTGCTCTCTTCGGGGGCCGACAGGCGGCCAAGGCCCACGTGGTCCCAGAACCGAGGCTTCGCCCTGTCAAGAGCGCCGACAGCCTTGAGGGCCTGCCGGAGGATGGTTTGGGCCCGTTGCCGATGGGCCCGACAGGCACCCGCTCTTGTGGACACAGCCGCTCGGTATCACACGACTCGTATTTCGAGCAACTCGGGGAGCAATCAACGGAGCTTCCGGGGTTAGAGGGACCGGTGCCGGGGCTGCCTGGAGCCGCTGGTTCCAGGCGAAAACGATCGCGCCTCGAGGAGCGGCTTCAGTGCGAAGCGGAGCTCCGCTTCATCGACAGCCAGAGCCCGGATCAGGTGAGACAACTGAGATACTTGAAAGTAAATCGCAAAAAGCACCTACTTGTCATCTCTCTCTCTCTCTCTCTCTCTCTCTCTCTCTCTACTTATTCATATTTACATCGTCGGCACCTCACTGTTTTTTTAGTCTTTTAATTTTAACGCGCGTTTCTTTTGATGCACATAAAAGTACGGAAACTAATAAGAATATATCGATATTAAAGAAACTGTGAATACCTTTGACAAGAAGTACCATCTCATAAAGTTCTTTTCTTTTTTTTTTTTATTTCTTTCGTGTGTCAATAATCGATTTATCCGTAATACGTGGCATTTTAACTATTACCAGGTTATGCTCTCTGCGGACGTGCACGAAATGGAAAGTCCATCGCCACTACCGACACCGGGATACTTGCCGCTGCTGTCGGAAGGATCGACGCCGATCACGCCAACCAAGGGTTCGGCGCCTTTGGAGCCGCTTGACCAAGAGATGAGGCCATGCGAGCGGTTATTGGGTGGTACCAGTATAGTGGAATTCCATAGGTAAATATAAAATAAATAGTCCTGAACTCCAGTTTGCACAAAGTGACATTCTGAGACCGAGCTTTTTATTTTATTTCAGGCTGGACTGCATTCCGAGCAGATTGCATCGAGAGGAGCCAGCACGCAAAATTGGAACCGTTGTCGAAAGTCCCCGAGGACAGCCAACTGACGCCAATAATAGCAATTTATCGAGCTCGCAAAGCATGACTGATTTGGATTCATTAATGACGTATGAGCAAAGCTACCAATACAGTTCGAATTCAAATTTCATTCCCTTAGATCCCCGAGAGAAAGTGACGAGCTTTTCGTCGGGACAAGCGCCTAATTATGTTAACGATTTAAGAAACGCTAATAAGTGGCTCATGACAGATCTACCGTCAGGTTGGTGCACATACGAATAATTCGCAAACCCACTTGTGACTTTTCAAAAGTTTAATTTTTTTGCTTTTTACAGATACGATATCTCCATCCAATGGTGCAGATGAAAGTCAATTGCATCGGATTGCGATCACAAAGAATACGCAAATGTTAGCCGTGGAGGAGTGCTCGTCCGGTTCAAGTACGCCCAAGAGCTGTCAGGAATCTATGTGTTATTCAGTATCCGATGGCACTTATAATTGTGAAGGAAATGCGCAGTCAACGAATTCTAACTTTGATTCTCCGTGCGAGGACAGTGGCTCAAATGTAACGCAAAATCGAAATTCTGATCAAGTTGATCAAACAGAGATGTTAGTGTCGATGAAGGCGAGTATACTTCTTCCAAAACGTGATTTAATAACTAATAAAAGCAGTTGCGATACCTCGGTGTGTCAAATGGCATTGAATGTCAAAAATCTTTCGAATTATCAAAATGATCCAATAGCCAGTTGGAACCCTTTATTAGATAAGTCAAACCGGCGCGAAAATAATCAAAACGAGATGGACAAATCCATTGACACCCCAGATCAGAGTAATCGATTCTTGAATGAAGTCAAGTACGACAACGCGCAAGCGATTCCTTTGGCGCTTGAACGGCAGGAGAAAGCTGCCGAACGAAGTAATTGTGATGAATCAAAAGAAAGCCAAAAGAGCCGTAGCGAATCTTTCAGACAAACTACAAATCGTAGCAGTGTTTGTACTACACATACCGAGTATAATACAAAAAGCATCAGTCAGCAACAATCTAGTAGTCCGAGTAGCCCTCAACGCACCAGAATACAAGACGACGTTGATGTCGTTATCCCTTCTGAAAGTGCGGCTGTAGAACCCGAAGAAATGGCTCATGTTCCAGATATGCTTTCCGTAAACATTACCCTTGATACTCCGTGCACAGTCTCTACATCCAGCACCACGAGTCTTGTACGAGACTCCATTATACATAAAGACACCGCCACTATTTTGCAAGAGCTGGCATTGCAGAGGTTATCCGGTGGAGACAGAGTCGAGCCAATTTCAACAAGAAGGCGATACGACTCCGACCTCGTGCGTGATAGGCGAAGCTTCGATTCGGAAATAGGACGAGAAATTGTACGCGAACACAAAATGAAACAGGAGCTTGAGAATGCGAGAGGAAAATTCGACGAGTCTCTTGCGAGCAACCAAAATCAAAGGTAAGCTATTGGTACAAAAAATAATGATAACCCGCGATTCACCGCTCATTCTATTTCATTGCATTAATAATCTTTTATCGAGCTAATAAAAACCGTTTAAATACGACATTGAGCGTAGTCGTATTTGAAATACATTTCTACATAGGTCATCCTCGGTGACTTTTGTAGCCTTAGTCCATACAATTGACCTCGTAGTCAAACTAGATTAATGCATAATTGTTGCAGCGCTCCGGCGGCCCATCTACCTCCATGCTTGCGAGCCCGCCACGCCCGGGCGACTAGAGCCGCGCTTAGCCGCTCTCTCGACGAGGCTAAGTTCAATAAGATGACCAACAGCGCAGTCGGTATGGGTGACCAGCAGCCGCAGATCAAGCCAGAGACGCCCCAGCAGCACAGCTCGACACCCAACGTCGGCAGCAAGTCAAGCTCCCAGACCGGAGCCTCCGCCGAGCGGTCGATACAGTCGCTTAACAAGAACCTCGGTCTCGATCTCGACGACCCGCGCTGCCGCGAACGGATCGAAAAGTACAAAGAGGAGAGGCGGACTTTCCTGAGGGACAAGTACAGGTCCGAGAGCTTTCGGGCGACGGGGAGTTCGTCGACGGCGAGCGAAAGCGCGAACAGCAAAGAGGACGGAGAGCAAGCCTTGCTGGCGAGACTGAAACAGCGAGCTTCCAGACCCTCTCTACTTTGACCCCCGACCCCTTCATTACACCGAACGACCAGTTGAATATTAATTATTGTACCAAGCCATGGATTATGGAAATATAGAACAAGCCTAATTGTTACAAAGTCGTGCAATGAACTTTTATGAACTATATATTATTAGAGAAATTTTTTAACGAATGAGTTTAATACTGCACGATGCGTTAATACGTTGATACGTTAATATCCTCTTTTTCTTTATATATATATATATATATATATATATATATATATATATATATATATATAAAAGCGCACACTTTATTGTTTGTAAATCTAGTTATTGTTGTATCTTTTTTGTAAAAAGAAAAAAGAAAAAAGAAAAAAGAAAAAAATATCGCTTGCTTATAATTGAAAGGCGAATTTGTTGAGATTTCTAAGAACTGATACATTCTTGAAAATGCACTATAGCTCCTCGATTAATTTTTTATTTCTATTTTTTTTTTTTGTTTCGTTTTTTCTATTTTTTTTTTTATACTTTGATTAACAGATGACGCCTGCGTAATGCTCGAGATAATGTACCAGGCTTTTATCCTATGAATAAACTAGCCTTGTAATTTATCAAGTATGTGAATCGTTACTTTAAAGGTCATTTGCAAAGAAATTAATGTTTCCATTGTGGACTGGTCTGCTATGGTATAAAATAACTTTTGTACATGTTAATCTTCCTTTAGATTTTTTAAACCTTACTGTGTTAAGTTAACTTATGTTTCTGTCTCAGCACTGATAAACAATACTATGATAAAGGTGATATTGATGATGTTTTGAAACATGTATCGACACTTTCTCTATTAGTGATAAACTGTTAGATAGTAGCATGCTACTTGACAATGAGTCCATAGTCACTTTCTATAGTCTCTTGTAGCACAAAGGACTCAATAACCGATAATGGTTATTCGAATCATTAAGTGATTTCCATTAGTATCGACACTAGGTCCGGCAGCAAATATTATGACAATACGATCGTAAAGTATTTATGTGCATAATGTCATTAAAATCATTCTTCTATCTGAATAAGTCGAGATTATTCATAAGTGAATAGTTGAGAGTGTAGCTGTCTATATATTACCAGTAAACAGATACATTACATATTTATTTGTAGTTGAAATTTTTAACGACCATATTGTAAGCGATTAAGTATTCTTTATAACGTAATCGAACAAATTTTATGTATTTCGTGCAATAACTTTAAGGCGCCACTTTCTTTTTTAATGTAGATATCGATACTTGGGCAGCTGCACTCTGATTTTCTACTCTTTCCAGAATAAAAATGTATTCTGCGAGTCTGCTAAAATATGCTAAAACAAGTTTCTTAACGTATTAAAATAAAAATTAAATAATGCCATATGTTCGATGAAGTAAAGCTCGATTTCTTACTCATTTATAACTTTTAATTCTTTTCTTTAATTTTTGTTCCATGTATCGTGCGATTTTGTTCACACAATTTTTTTTTTATTTTATTTTTTTTTTATTATTAAAATAAATATAGAAATATTAAAGAAATACTATATTAAAAAAAAAAAAAAAAAAAAAAAAAAAAAAAAAAAGTCTTTATACGTTAATTTATCTATCCCTTCAATATATTTTTATATTCACTGATTTAATTAGACATAATAGCGTTAGACAAAAGTTTAAATGATTTTTCATAATAAAAGAAAAAAATATTACTACTTTATAACTGAGAGAAAATATTATCATTCGAATCGAGAAATTGTCTCGTCATACGGTAGTAAAATGAATCATTAATGTTGAATTTTAACGAACATGAATCATGGAATATAATTATTATATTAAAAGATAACGCAAGCTTCTTCGCTAAGAAGTGACGACACACTATTCTTCGAGAAAATAATTTTATTCGTATATTCATTTACGTTCCTTGAATATAATATTAAAGTCGTGTAATGAAAAACCCATTATTACAAAGATTATTATTGTTATTATACTGCAACGCGCTGATGAATGTCAATTACTTAAACAAAATTATCTCCAAATTTCAGCCCAATAATTCTTAGCTAAAACTTGCGATTTCTTGAAACTGCATTAATATTTCTTCCTTTTTTTCTTTTTTTTTTTTTTTTTGTTATGTTGGAGATATTTTCTTTTTTTTTTTTTTTGTCTGTTCATATAAATTTCAATATAAATTTAACCACATTTGTATATGATAAAGTGTCTATAACTTGCGTTTACTTTATCACAATAATTATAAGTGTTCACTTTCAGACATTTACAACGCCTTCATAATATTCATAATAAATTATTGAGCATGTAAAGAAAAATGTGTCCTGTAATCTCGCACAATGCTTTATTGTTTTTAATGTTTTAAACAATCGGGTTGAAATATCGGTTGATGTTTTGAAAATCAAAGAGCAAGTCAATCGATGCTCTACACTAACTTTCTCGTCCACTGACCTCATAAAATCGAAAACAACTTTATACGTCGTTTATGTATAGATTAACCTACGCGGTTTATTACAAACTTTTGGACTTTTATCATAAAGCCCGTATAATCGGCTATTCGTATCGTCTTGTGAATTGTCATTTGTAGGATCATATGGCATGCTGCCCGCATTTGCTTTATGTTCGAAATGGCAGTTACCGCGTATTATTATGGCATTTGTAGTAGTAATACGTAGACAATTTACTAATGAATATACTAGCTTTCTACTCTATTAACAGGTCTTCTAACTGTTTTTCATTCAGCGAATGTATGTATTTGTAAATCTTTTTAACCATTCTAAATGATATTGCTTCGGTATCTATTAATATTATTATTATGTATTTATTTATTAATTGTTGTTGTTGTTGTTGTTGTTGTTGTTGTTGTTGTTGTTGTTGTTGTTGTTTCTATTGATGTTATTATTGCTTTTATGATATTAGAGCACCTAGATAGTTAATCGTTCTACGCCATCGTTCATTTCATTATTATTCGACACTTCGCTTTCACAACTTCAATTTCTTCCACCTCACTTTATATATTTTAAATAAAAAAAAAGAAATGAAAAGAGAGACATGTATATCCTGCGTAAAATTTAAATTTCAGCAATACATCATTAGCTAGGTCAATGCGTAAGAGACAGTGTGGTGAAGCAGCTTATTGTTAAACATTATTGAGCTATCGGTGCTCCATCCATTTTAATAATCATATTTACGCTCTCGGAGACGCGACTTTCTCTCTATTGTTTTTGTTTGTAGTCGATTGTAAAATAACGGCCACTTTATTACCTCCAATTTAAGAAACAATCTTATTGGAAAATACTTAGGATTAGCCGGTCAGCAGACATTTAGTTATGCTAGGTATATTCGTGTCAAACAATTGTAAGGTCAATGTAATATATATATATATATATATATATATATATATATACGCAGGAGAATCGGTCTTACGCGTTATATATTGCGGCAAAAAAAAAAAAAAAAAAAAAAAAAAATCACAAAATCCGCTGAAATTGCAATGGAAGCCGGGAGTTTATGCATCGGTCGCTAAGCCGTTTTTGTTCGAGCAGCAATTGAAGTGAATTACCGCTCCTACTGGCAAATTCCAACAATAGTCCAATTGCTATTAACGACTATACCTATAAATTGTAATTAGCGCTTGCCTCTGCGTTTGCCGCCCTCGATTAAAATCCAATGTCACTCTTGGCATTGGTTGTTGCCGCTGCCGTCGCTGCCGTCGCTGCCGTTGTCATCGTCGTCGTCGTCGTCGTCGTGGTCATCGTCGTCGTTACTCCAACACTTGTTGCATCGCCCGACGACGATGACGACGACGTGTCAAATAATCGACCGCAAAGTCGATACCCTCCATAATGTAATACCGTCATCTGTGCATTAATCACGAAAGCTTATCACTCGTTAGGTAAACGGAGTTCCGGAAGGGGGTAGCGTACGGGCGCTAGAGGGCGCTACGTCGAGTCAATATTCGATCGTAGAGGAGCGCTACGTTTATATGGACTATGGAACGTCAGTAGCGCGAAATTCTTGCTGTGAGTGTATAGTGTATATCGATCAATAATTTGTCGTTTAAATGGTAAGCCTCGATTAGCAAGCCCAAGTGGCCCACGGCATCACTGCTGGCAAAGTTTCGGCGAAACGAGCGAGCGCGTGCAAGAGCACAAGAGTGTTTGTTGCGCAAGAAGTAATTGCCAAGCTAAAACGAAATCAGCGACTACGATTCGGAACTGTACGAATGACAGCCGTGAAAGAGGTGTGTATATGCATTGAGCCCCTATCAACTATACTTATACACACACTTATATATATATATATATATATATATATATATATATATATATATATATATATATATATATATATATATATATATATACACACCAGCCAGGCGTGAACTTGTCGAAACTTTAATGTACATACGTTTGGCTTCGGCGTCAACATTTCGTCGTTCATTATTTTAGCTGAATCCTCGTTCGAACTCTTGGCATTTTCGTTATTAGACTTTCCGAAATTCAATCGATCCCTCCCTTAAAGCCGGAACACAAGCTAATTGACCAGCTTCTAATTAGCGTTTGTGCTTGACAGGTTATATCTATTAATACATATAAATATACACACATGACTAACACTTGTCTTTTTCCGCAGAAGCACTTTCGCTAGATCTCGCTTAATTTTTATACGTATGCGTGGTTTCGACTTTCGATAGCATTCCGCATAGTTTAACTGTTAAAACAAGTTAAATACAAACTCTTACTGCTTAATTAATGAAGCCAGGTCTTATATGTAGTTACAATAGTGAGATTAAATCGAATGTTCATGCCAATTTATTTGAATCGTAACAAGTGCCAACGTTATGAGGACTACCTGATTCTTATCTCGACGATGCTTAAAAATATGATATTTCATTTTCTTACAGGTGCGTTATTTTATTTTATTATTATCTTGCCCAATCTTGATATACATGTAAATTCAATAGCTAAAGCTCGCTTGTTTTTGGATAATGAAAATAATATGTAAATTTTAAGGTGGATAGGAATGAAATAATAGTCATGCCTCATGGCTGGAGGTAGTAGCAGGAGGACCAAACAACATGGAAAACTAATTCAAGCGACGTTAAGTTTGTCATCTAATTGTTATTATCATTCTCATTGTAAATGTAAAACAGTAGGAGATATAAGTACCGATCAGGAGGAAAAAGAATTTAAAGATCTTTATCAACGACATATTAATTTATTACGTCAGGACATTAACAGGTACTTGTAACAATAATATTATTTTTAAAATATGAAATAATTAAAGAATTCTGTGTATTCTTTTGTTTAGAATATTTAGCGAATCTCTACACTGCGACTTGAAAGTTATATATGGATATAAAGTAATAGAAACCAATCAATGCATTATTAGGATTAGATCACCATTGTTTTACGACATCCTTAGACCACATTTTTTATATAAAAATAAAACTGCACATTATTATGTTAAACAACTCAGACTTTTTTGTCAAATTAAACATTTCATAAGGTATTTAACATGTTTATCACATAAATATTATGATTTTCTTTTTTGCTATTTACTTTTCATTTATCAAATAAATAAAGCTAGTCTGAAATTTATACTTTTTTGTAAAAATCCATTTTAAATCTAATGTATCTTTATATTTTATCTTTTAACGTTAAAGAATACTGATTATTGATAATTATAATTTTAATTTATCGTTTCAACTCAACCCAACTTGGCTCTGAAACTAAAAAAGAAATTGTTAATATCAATTTTTGTAAAATTTAATGAGATGAGAATGACTATGCGTATCTATTATATTCAGAGTTAAATTCTATGTTCATTAAGTATTCTATTTTCTATTCAAATGAGTCATAATTTTAATATTCATATTTTTATATCTTTATTAGACAGCTAATTAATAATTTCATAAATAATATTAATATAATTTATAAATAGTTGGCAGAATTTATTTGTAACGAACCCAGTATGATGGCTAATTATAAAAAATACTAATGTAAAATAGTTTCATATATAAATGCAATCGGTTATGAGAAAAAACATAAACCACAAATTTTCTATTATAAGATACCCTTGATATAATTAAATTTAAAATAATTTCATTATTACTCAAATTATGATACACAAAGAATGTAAATGAAAAATTTTAAACAGTTTTCTCTTACGTGCACTCGTATCTAAATGTTAAATAATATACAGAAATAAGAATATCGAATAATACATTTTGATATCTAAATGTTCGTAGGTTATTAAAAAATTCTATATTTGTAGAAGAGATTTATAGCGCATGTACATAAAAAAAAAACGAAATAAATAGAAATAATTGAAATTAAAAATATACAATTGTCGAATAAGATTTTTTTTTACAATTTTTCCATAACTAAGTTCATAACATTTAATATTGATAAAAAGACATTGAAAATAAAATATTATATGAAATATAATTTTAATTATAATTACAAACTATTAGCTATCTCTTTTTTTGTATAAATTCATATAATTATCGTAAACTTATTTGTTAAATTTAATGATTAAAATAAAATATGAATTTTAATTCTTGCCACGATACTAATTAATCTACATGTATAAAATGTTATTGCAATTGAATTTTCTTCTTCTAATGATTAATGATGCTGATTTGTATTGAAGCGAAGATCAATGTAACGTATTGTTAAGAAAAACGAATTTTGTTTAAATAATTTTGTTAAAAGAATACATTCTACATCATAAAAAATTAATTCATTTTATATCATATTTATAACTCATTAAACATTAAAATATACGAGTTGGTTCATTCAGTAATTCAGAGTAAAATAATTAGTTATTGATTTAATGTGAAATTATGAATAATAACGATTAAATGTAGTAATGTGTGTGTGTATTTTTTTTTTTTTTTTTTTATATATATATATATATATTACTACTTCAAGTACATAAACTATATATTATACAGTACATATTTTTATTTAGTGACTGTATATATTACTACTGCTATATATGCTGCTAAATTTAATTTCAACTTAAATATTGGTTAATATATATATTTTAATTTAAGCTTCATTATGACATCAATAATACCATTATGATATATTAAATTTCAGGCTTTTGTATACTAATTTGGATATTTCAGACTACGAACAATTTTTCATCAAAATTATATTAAATAATTCTTCGTTACTTTCAAAAAATACTCACGAGATACCGCTAAGGTTTGTTCGTTTGATTGTTTCTTTAAAAGAATTAAAACTTTTAAATATTCACGATAATAAGAGAATAAAATTTATTTAATAATTTTGTTTGAATAGAGAATCGAATTGTAGTCAAGACATTAATTACTACATGAATCATTATCCTCTTGGAAATGTGTCAACGACAGATGTGAATGACAACAGTCCAGTATCATCAGATATGGCTGACTCTGGATTAGAAACAGGATCGATGATAAGTCCTCAAGAAACTATTTCTGAAAATTCAAGTACTGATTTGGATGAGCCAAATGAATCGTCAATTTTAAAAAGAAATAATGGAAAATCCATATCTTACGAAAAGACAAATATTTCAACCGAACATAATTTTTTTGAACGAGAAGCCTCTCCAAGACATATCAGCAAAATAAAAGATGAAATATCAGAGTATGAAAATCTTGTATTAAGTGACCCATTTTATGAATTGAATGGCGAAAGTGATGAGGATACCAATGACCAAGTCAAATTATACGTTCCCACATCATCGTTTGGATTTAATGAAGCAAACAATTTATTATGTAGTAATAATAGTAAAAAAAATGATGATAAACTGTTAAGAGAAGAGAAGATCACTCAAAATGGAAAAAATTCAAATATTCTTATCGAGGTGAATACCTTTATTTATGAATTGATAGAAGTTATAAAATGAAATAAATAGATATATTTTATACTGGCGTTAATTAAGCTAATAGTTTAATTTGTTAAAAATTAAATGCACTTATAACACGTTAATAATTTGTTTCAATTATAATTACTTAAACAATGTTAATAAAATTTAATAAAAATGAACTCTAATTTTTTCATACAAACGATAATGTATAATAATTCAATCGATGTTATATTTATTAATTAAGAATTAAAATATTCTGTACTTCGAATATTAATTAGATCTATACATTAACAAATAATTTTAATATATTGGTATCTAACACATCGATCGATCGTTTCGTTTTCGCAGTCATTTCTATCGCTATCTTATAAACTTTACAATTGTGTTGGAAAATTCACAACACAAAATTAAGATAATTCAGATAATGAAATGATAATTTTATTATCAAAAGAATTTTATCATTATTTAGAGATAGTACATTTTTCTTATTGCGTGAGCTTGCCCTTCTACATCGAATTACAATGAAATTCTAGTGCTAAAATCATAAGAATGAAAGTTCAAAGCAATTTTTTATCCTTTGTTGAGTCAATTTGGCATAATTTTTTTAAAATTAATCCATTAAATCGTATATTAAGCCACTCGAAATATTATACCAATTCTATTGAATACGTTTTATATCTTCGCTTTGATAATAAATATAAATGTAGAATAACTGTAAAAGTTAATTAATCAAACATGAAAATGTAAGTTATAAAATATTTTACTTGATTTAGAAACAACATATTGACATACACAGTTCTTCAGGAAGTAGCAACTATTATTTTATCGACGCCTCAACATTGAATGACGATATAGATGTAACTTCAAAGAACGTCGTTGGATACTCAAATGACATTAACGAACGATTAATCTGGTCTAATCCACAGCCACCTAGCAGCTGTTACATTCCTACGTCTAAATCAAATAATCTATTTCATAATGATTCATTGAAGCTTCCTAATCAAAAGGCAAACGTACAGTGTCAATATAACGAGGCAAAAGAGTTTAAGCAAAATGTCAAGCTCACCGAATGTCTCGAGCCATTCGGAGAATATCGAAAAACTAAGAAAATGGATTCACTTGTTATACAAGACGATGTGAATAATTACAAAAGTGCTAATAAGGAATCTCTAACGGTAGAAGTGAAGGAAGCCGATAGTGGAGAAAGTACACAGCATTCACCATGTCCAGATAATACAAAAGTCGATGGCATACGAAAAATGAACAATAACATGGCCGATATCGATTTCGAGTGTCAAGAGAATCCTCAAGAAAAGCAACAGCATGAGAAACAACACGATGAACAATTTGAAAAACAAGAGGAACAACCAGATGAAGAGCAAGATGAGAAAATAGATAGGAGAGCTTCGCTCATTAGAAGAAATACGTTTGAGCTCGATGCAAATGACGAAAAGTTATCGAGTCTTAGGCAAGAGTACGAAAGACGTCAGGGTAATCTTGTTTTTCAGAATTCAATTACTCAATATTCTCAACATCTTATAGATGACAATCCTTATTTGGATAGCGCGGCTCAATCTGATTCAATGACTATTAACGATTTACCTCCTGATACAGATTCAAAAGGTCCTCCTACCACTTCTTTTAACGTTATTTTAGATAAATACAAACTCGACGCATCGGAAAAGGAAAGCGATGCTGATAGATTATTGTCAGACGTTGATATAGAAAAGGACGTTAATTGTTTATCTAGGAGCACGAGCGATAAATTATTGGATAATTTTGCAAACGACCTTGAGATACCTTTCAATAGTTTGCCTCTTAATGTCAACGATGATTTAAGTCTAAGCAGAGATATTCCGAAACTTAGACGTAACGAGGTCGTGCCTATATTATCCGGTGGAGCGATTTGCACGAATCAAGAAAAGCCTACAAACAGTCCAGTTATCAGGCGTAAAACCGAAGTGACTCCGATAGTATCCGGGGGTTTTGTCAACAACCTCGAGACTCCGGTAAAAGAGAAGTCGCAATCAAGAAAGGCCAATAGGACGTTGACGACTGCTTGGGTCGTAGATATGAGCGACTGTCGTAACAACAGCATTGACAAGCCTTCGATTTCGAAAAGAAGCCGAGAATTACAAACGGGCATGTCCTCGAGTTTCTCCACGTCCAGTCTTAATCCCGACAAAGACAAGGAAAAGGATAAGGAAAAGGCGCAACACTCGAGCCTCGGTTATTTTGTTAATCTCGACGACGCCCAGGACCAGAAAGGGCGACTCAAAGACTTACCAATTTCTCATAGGCGGCGCGCCAGTGACATCGCCAGTGAAAAGAGCTACTGCGAGTTTTTCATCGATCTGTCGAACAAGCCCGAGAAGAAGCCTCCTGAAAAATTCGTTTGTCCTTTCGGTAAGAACGCCTCCATGACCACGAGCCAACCCGGCGACAGCAAAAAGAACATGTTCTCCATGTTTATTGATCTTAGTGAGCCGGAAGGCGCGGCTGGTATCGTGAAATCGACTTCATCCTCGAAACTCGCTGATAGCGGCAGCGAACAGAAACAAACGATCATCGAGAAGAAATCGAAACCCGGCGTATTTATGTTCATAGAGTCGGATTCGCCGCTCGTAAGGCGGCGCACTCTTTCTAGCTCACGTCCGGCCTTTAAACGTCACTCCTGGAACACCGACAAGAGCAACGAGCATACACCCACGGCTTCCGAACAATCGACGCCCACCGTACCCAAGAAGTCCCACAAGCGCGCCCAAAGTCTCTCGGTCGAGCGCATCGGTGAGTTTCGTAAAATCGTTGGTGACACACCGGCACGCGATCCCGAGTACGAGCCCGGGGACACGCCACCCAATTCGCACGTCCAAGTGATCGACGAGGAGCTACTCCTAAGTCTAAAGAGTCGCAATCATCAAGAGCTCGAGGCCATTAAGGAACAGGCGATGAGCGAGTCACGTGCTAAGCCCAATCAACGCGACGACTGTTACTCCGAAAACTCTGTGTGGGAAAAGACGCCGACCGATAGCAGCGAGACTAACCGAACCCGCAAGAGCGAGACTTTCGACGTCAGTAGCAGCGCCAGCTGTACTTCTTCCACTAGTGAGAATCTTGAGTTGAAGCACAATGACTCCACGAGCACAACGCAACAGATGTAAGGCCGTGAATGCAACCTCGCGAGAGCTTAACGAATTTTCTCCAAAAATTCCTCCCCTATTTAGCACAATTTTTCATTTGATTTTAGAGTTGCAGCGGGGGTAAAACCCATCAAGATTCACGAAGATAATAATCGTCAACATTTACGAAACAACGAGAGGCAAATCAAAGCTAATGCACCGAGGCTGGCGCCTATAAACAACTTCGTCAAGCTGTCCGACTTGGATAAAAGGCCACTTTCTAATAGCATAAGTTCAAGCACGATCGAAGCTCCGATCCGTGAAAGCCCATATCGTATGAGCAATAGCGTCACCGAGATGTCGTGGATCGAAAGCAAATTGGTAATGACGGCGAGAACGGTCGAACCCATACACAGGACTTTTAATAAAAAGCTCTCCTTTAATACCACTAGCACTAGTGGACAATCTAAAATAGAAATTTTCGATGAGATTAGCACCGAAGGCGATTGCGAAGCTGTTGTTTCCGAATCTGACATATCCAGCTTACAGAGCAGCGTCGGTCGTTCTGCACATGGTAAAAAATTTATTCTAAACTAATTGTAATATCATTGATAATGATTTATTTATATGATATTAAATGAGATAAATAGAATTCATTTGACATTGAAATTGATAAATTTGAAGGAATCGTTGATTTTGAGTTATTCACTACGTCGTTTCTATTATAATATTAATATGTAATTGTAACGGATATCAAATAAAAAAAAAAAAAAAAAAAAAATCTATCACATAAAATAATAAAGTATATTAAAATGAAAATGTAAAGATTAAATGATTTTGAAGAATGTTATTAGCATACGAATAACTGATAAATTTACTTTCGAGTGACGCGTTCCACACAAATAATGAGACAATATGTAAAAGAAATTTACTTTTGACTCGAACGAATTCTTCACCTAATTTCTCATCTTATTTTAATATAATGATACTGAAAATTGTCCTTCATTCCTGCCCTTAAATTTCAAGAAGAAAGCACCGAGGAGACAGAGACTTCTACGAGCTTTGCAATGGGAAAACCCTACAACAGGTTGGGAGAGGATTTACTTAGAATGTTTCTCGAGGAAATCAATCCCGATGTGACAATTGACGTTGCTGGTCGGCGTATAAGGGCACACAAATGCATATTAAGCTCTCGTTGTCAATACTTTGCAGCTATATTAAGTGGGAGTTGGATCGAAAGCACCGGAAATATTATATCGTTACAAGGGTAGGTAAAACGGCGATTAACATTTACCATTTGAACGTTTAACCTTAACATTATTTATTGCTAATAAATCATTATGTACGCAGATATTCATACAATGCGGTTCACTTTGCACTCTGTCACATCTACAGCGGTGAAAGCTGCATACCGGATTCTATAAGTATCGTTGAATTGGCTACATTAGCGGATATGCTATGCCTAGAGGGTCTGAAAGAAGTCATAGGCTTTACATTAAAAGTAAAATATTGCCATTTATTTCATAAAGTGAGTTTTTAACGTAAAGAATTATCTGAATTTTAGAAATTTTAAAAAATTAGAGTTGAATTAAAAATCTTCTTTTATAGCCATGCACTGGTTGCTCAGTGGGTGTATTAGAATGTATGCCATTGGCAGCCGCTTATGGTTTAGACGAACTCTATAGAAAATCACTGAAATGGGTAACACGTCATTTTGTAAGAATATGGCCTTCCAAAGAATTCGCAACCCTCCCTCGAGAATTAATGGATAAATGTTATCATCAACATATCGTTCACATGGTAAGTATAAAATAATTGCAATTATTTCTAAATATACTTGTCGATTACCACGATAATGGAAGTGTCCATTTTCTTAGTCGTTGGATAATATATTGCAAAGTATAATGGACTGTGACAAGCTATTAACTACATTACCCAATGTTCGATGGGCCGAGCCAGTTTTCCGATTAGCTTCCAATCTTCTAGACGCTTGTATGAAATACCTGACAGATAATTATTCCGGTGTGCTTAATAACGAGAACTTTCAAAGTCTCAATCGAGAATTAACTTGGAACATTAGTCGCCTCGAAGATCATCTTCTGGCGGCTGCTGAACGATTATCACCCGAGCAAGCTTGCAAGGCTTACGCAAGACTCGATAAAATGCTAAATTGCCAATTAGCCGATGATGCTGAGTGTGCAAAGTCTAAATGGAATTCATTGTTTATGGATTTGATAAGTAAGATGAGAATTCAAGTGGAAAAATCTCTAATACGAGACGCAGCAAGAGCATCGAGAACTAATGCATGGCTTAAAATGGATTTGGATATCCGTAATCGTATCCAAACTCTCGCTTGCCTCGTCATATTACCAAACGAGGCTCCCTCTAAGAGGCCATCCAGGCACTCAAATTTCTTAAAGGTAATTATTGCGTCACGTTAGTTTGCCTCGATCGATATTGCCTCCTATCATACTCGCTTATCTATTCTTTTAGGATCCAAAACAAAGTCAGGAATCAAAAACGCCTGTAAATCGAACGCCACCGAGTAAAAATTTTGATTTACGTAGAATGAAGATGGCTATCTCCGAACACAATGATAGAACATTTAAGCAAACGCCACTTCTTCAAACAAGAAAAATTATGAATAAACCAAAAACCGATCCCTTAGAACGAAAATTACATAATGATAAGTTAAGCAATGATACGAGCGGTGTTTCGAGGCCCAAGTCCTGGCCAAATAAAATCGAAGTAATGACAAAAGCAAGATATCCACTTTAAAACGCATTTTACTTTATTTCAGTTTTATAAACTAAATGCTATTGTTTTGTGAATTTTAGGTAAAATCGAGATACCTCGAGCCAAGAAATAGAATAGCAGCGAAGGAGTCTGCGGCACAACCAAATCAAGATAAAGTATTAGGACAACAAAGAAAGAAAATAATGATCTCATCTTCGGATTCATCGCGAACTTCGAGTCCCGCGATGAAGCGCGCAGCCGAAAAGAAAACATTAACAAAAACCCTTAATAAAGTTCCGATAAAAAAGGATGGTAAAGCTCTCTCTTACGATAGTCTTACGGAGTCAAGTTCTCGTTTAAGCGTTAAGAAGGATATATCGAGTAAAAGCTGTGGTATCACAAGACCAGAGTCACCTTTGTTGAAAATAAAAAAGGTTGAGTCTGGTTTATCGATCGACTCATTGGCTGATTCGAAAAAGAAGCCGCTAATAAAGAAAACAAATAGAATGGACACTTCAATGTCTACGGATAGCTTAATGACCGATATAACATCGATAACCACTCCCAGATCCATGATTACAAACAAGTCGTCCCCGGTTTTAGGGAAAGTAGCTACAAATCTGAGTCACAACCAAACGCAAAGTTATGAAAAGTTAAAGAAATCATCACCTCCGTCTCAACAACGTAATACCCCATCCACGGCACGCAGGCCGGGTCGATCCTTAGAAAACTCCACGGCAGCTAGTAGAAGTAGAGCTGCTGCTGTAATAAATACCTATCAAGGCTCTCTCAATCTGCGAAAGAGTCTTCTGGATGCTGCAAAAGCACCCGACATTCCAAGTAAGGCATTAAATAGCTCCACCATGATACGAACGAGCTTGCGTCAAAGTATGCATTCAATGAAGTCGTCCTATATCGGTGCTTCCATTAAATCCGAAAAATATGAGAGGAAGGATGAGACTGTTACTAACAATCAGAGGTCTAGTTCTAGCCCCGCAACTAAAAGATCACCAAAGTCTAACATCGGTTCTAAGCTTAGTAAGTCAACGATCGTGACAGCCAGCAAGCAGAAGCCAAATAAGTTCCAAGATAAGTCCTCCAATAAACTCAAGTCCCAAACAACTGTCACAGCTGATAAAGAAGGTCCCAAGTTCCTTAACCAAAGTTCAAGATCAGGTACATTTTTGAAAGACGAGCCAACGATTTTAAACAAATCGGATATTCAGACGGCAGCCATCGACCTTTAATCTAAATGCCCGATAATAATGTATTTGTACATTGCATTAATTATGCTCTATAGAACATTAACCATCCTTATCAGTAACCTACATAGAATGTGTCACATGTATTTAAGAGAATATGGCAATCTAATCTATTATTAGAGGGCTGCTTGATTGGTAAATGAATTTTTCATAGAAATTTCATAGGGTAGCTGATAAAAAGCAGCATGGATTTGTAAATTTAAATCACAAGGAATTTCAAATCGCTACTGAAACTCGTACTAATAATAATTATCATAGTGATGTTGAAGTTTTGTACACTATTATATTGCATTGATTTTTAGTTCTTTAAGCTAACAAGGAAATGTTTTACAATTTATAAAAACAATTTTCAATTTGTTAAAAATTTTGATGATTTATTATCGAACGATTAATACTGAAATATTAATTGATATTATTCTTTGTTAAAATTATTAGAATAATGAGAAACAAATGTTAAAGAGTTAATTAAGACCAATATTATATATTTGATCTGCGACTGTTAGAGATACTCTTTCAGTTATAATTTTTATGAACGAGTAGGTTAGATTTTATTATTAAATAAAGAGTGGTAGCTCGTGCAATTTAATTACGTGCTTTATTATCCAAGTATAGGAAATCTGTATATCGTGCATCTAACAAATATATGATGCGATAAACAAAATAATGTTTGATCATCAACATGTAAAATTTATCAATTTTTTGAGTAAGTGCAATTCATCGTAATTCATTATGCAAAATAGCGTTTTTAACCATTCGGAGAAAAAGCAATTTGACCTTAATTAAAGCAAAAACATTTCTTTAACAGTCTCAACGTTGCCATCCATGCATACATTTGTATAAATCTGTTTACATAAAATACTGTTGCATTAAAATTCTCTTTCACACCTACTGTACATTTAGTTTATTCTATTTATCTACAAAATTTATATATATCTATTTTACAATGTATATTTCTATGCAACATTTATCTCTAGTCATTGCGATATATATTTTAAATATTTACTTTTATGTCATGTTAATAAATAATTCAGAACAGTGTTTAAATTGGTATGTTATTTAATTCTAAGTATCTTAAATTCATGGAAATAATTATTTATACGCTTATTATATATCCAACAGTGTTCCTCTTGTTTTTTTAATATCCGATGGTGGTGGGAGCATAGTTTTTCGCTTATTCATTCCCTTTCTCTCTAATTGTTTTTCAATAATTCTAGCATTATTTGCGTAAGAATCTGCCACCTCTCTCTGTACATAATAATAAATTAATTAAGAAATATATTATTTGAGAAGCTTAATGATAATGGCATTTAAACGACAACTCACAGCTTCAATTTCGTCTTCCTCTTCATCTATTGTTGAAACGGTGACGGAGCTGAATTTTCCCATGTTCTTTGTATGTTTAGTTACCATAACTTTTTTAGGTTTTTCTACTTCTACCTGATTATAAATGTCAGTCATAGGACCTTCTCCTGAACTTTTAACAACAGATCCCTTAACAATAAATACAATGTTTGGTGTAAATTCATGTTTGTAATAGAGAAATAAGCCGCATCTTAAATAAAAAAATTACAATAAAAATTATTAATTCGATACACAATATGAAATATAAAATAAATACGTGCTTTTTACATTTTTGCCTATACTGTTTTTCAATACCCTTGGGTCGTTTCAAATATGTAATTTCATCTTGTTCGCTTGTCATCTTATGAGCGTGTTTGCTTCCATCAATAATTCTAGCACCATCTCTTTTTCTAAGTGGCAGCTTCTCCAAAGCACAATCTAAATTGATTTGTAACATTAGCGTTACTTTATATTTACATGATTATAAATAAGGGCAAATATATAATAATATATGTTAATAACCTAATATAAGTGTCATTTGTCCGCATATACAATAATAAGTATGCAGAGGTTTTTCTTCGCTGTACTCTTCTTGATCTTTCGTATCCGAACAAACTATGCTCCTTGAAACAACTTTTGGCATTATTTAAACGCGTATTTCGCTTATAACAATTAAATATATCACAACAAAATCTAATTATTGATGATACCCTATGGGCTAACCTTAACTTAATTGTCGACGCTGATTATATGATTAAATGATTATATGATTATATGATTATATGATTATATGATTAAAATGTATAAACGCGCATTTAACCTGCTGCGTAGATGAATTTCATTTAAATTCAGTCTTGGATTTTTTAAGATAAGCTTCCAAGTTAATTATGTAAAAACATTTGGATGAAACAGTGCAATCCTACCTATCTCTATTGGCTGTTATGGTCATCCGAAATTTAAAGAAAACGAAAAACTAAGAAAATATTAACGGATTTATTCATCCCCCCAATCTTATTTTATTCATTGGGTATGTTCACTTTGCCTAGAAAATCATAGAAAAATAGAGATTTAATTAAGTATTTTATACCATTGTTGGGTATTTATTTTATTTATTTTGCCCAAAACATCTCATAATTGTGAATTAGAAAAATTTCTATTCTTATTTAGAAGAATATGGATTATGCGTTATTTACTTGCATAAAGATTTTCAGATAGATTATTACGATTATGGGCGCACTTACGTTAAGAAATAAATAATATATATTTTGACTTGAGATGAAATTTTATTTTCATATTAATACTCGAACATATCGCAACAATAAAGCATTAAATGTCATTGGCCATAAATTAATAATTTTTTATATTTTGTATATGTTGTATACTTTGTCGTATGATACACCCTAGCCGTATGATACATTCGCAACATACGGTTATATTACATAGCTCGCTCAAGACCTTACAATTTACATATTAATTATAAAAGTTGTTGAAATAAATGAAAAGCTGAACATTAGAAGCTGTGGCCTTTGTGATCCTCTGTTTACGCGCCACTTAATATACCAACAAAATTGACACACAAACATACACTGTATATACTCTTTCTTTGTGGGTGGTGATGACCTAAAGTATAATACCGAAGATAAAAATATCAAAATAATCACAAGCTTTATCAGCATAAGCAGTTCGTATTTCAACTTGTCTGTCAAAGATGGGTTCGGAACTGTTATTGGGTGTTCGATTAGCTCCCGTTGAAAAAATGTCAGTTATTAAAGTAAGTGATGTCAATTTGACAGAGAAAGTGGAAAAATTGAGAATTACAGCTGCGGAACAAACTAACCTGTCAAATGATTCGTTCGGTAAATATTTATATTATAATGTCTTTATTTGTCAATATTTGTATTATAAATAAGTATTTATAATGTCATCGTTGAATTTTACATTATTTTATCGAATAGTTATTGAATAATGCATTTATTGCATTGTAATGCAATTATCTTTACAGATCTTATTTATTGTGGATGTCTTCTTGAAAACGATTGTACCCTGAAGTCTTATGGATTAAAAGATGGTTCGATGGTTCATGTTTTAAAACGAAGAGAAAATAAGGAGGTGGCGAAGAATAACTCGACTTCGATGAATAATTTTGAGAAAAATATGAAGACGTTGATATCGGTATTTCAATCGTGTATTGGAAATCCATTGCTCGAATTAGCAATGCGGGTAAGTACATTTTCAAATATAAAATGATTAATTATGAGATGATGAATGATTGTGAGATAATTTTATAATTAAAATCTTGATATAGCAATTGGCGAAAAGACCTGAGGTTACTGAAAATATTATTTCATTTTGTCCTGATTTAAGCGACGATGCTGTTGCAATTGCCGTATTACAAGATCCAGATCTGATAATACATTTTTCGAATGCCGATACAATAAAAAAGTGAGAAGTTATACGCTTATATATAGATTAATCAAGTAATATATCCATAATTTATAAAATTTTAATTTTTAGAATTGCCAAATTACATCCAGCGCTTTTCGAAGCAGCTCAGCACATTGCATCAGCTATTCACGACGAAGCTCATAATATTGCAGCATCGTCAAATGCACTCATAAGAGACGAGAATTTAAGCGACGATGAGGAAATGGCTGCTGATTCTTCTCAATCGTCAGATTCAACTCAACCATCCAATAACGTTAATCAGCCGCGAAATGAATCTAATTCAGTAATGAATACCGATCCAGTTCTCGCAGCAATAACAGCAAGCTTATTCAATCCTAATAATGTCAGTAACCCTGATATTGGTTCATCAAACTCTAATAATATGGGACAGATAACATTTGAAATGTTTAATCAAGCTATGCAACAAGCCTTTGCATCTAATCCAGCCACTAATAATCCTACAAATCCTGTACAAGCAGATCCACCAACATCTGGAAATCTAGTGCTATCATTAATGCACGATATGGGCCTTGAAGATGATGCTTTAAATATTCGAGCATTACGAATTACAAATGGAGACATCGAAGCTGCGGTTGAATTACTCCTATGTGGATTTGGTGTTAATTAATCCTTTTACCTATTAGTCTATTATCAATTTAGTGCATAAGTTATAAATTATCCTTTTGGAATCTGCTCTTTTTAAATAAAAGCATAAATTTAAAATGTATCAAAAAGAACTTTTATATTATTATTTTTTTTTTTTTAATACATTTTATATATTTTAATGTAACATTTTAATTTTATCGTTCAATTTTATTTTTATGTATATTGTCGATTTATTTGCATTATAGTAATTGACATAAGATTAGGAAGAAATTGAATTTTACAGAAAAAATTGGGCAATGTTATTTGTTATTACATTTGTAGTTTCTCTAGTACTATATACTAATGCAATTTGTTATTATTCATCGAGACAATTCCGGGTATGTGCATAGAATATAATTACATACTTGTAGATTTATTTTTATAATATTGATACAATAATTTTAAAATACTAATAAAATTATATTTTAATATATTTTTATCTGTGAAGTCATTATTGTTTTATGTACACATTATTAGACTTTCAGTATATTTATGTTAAAAAGACGTTACGTTTATTTAATTTACTATGATATATAAATCAGTAATTTAATCAAACTGTTCAAAAAGAAAAATGACATTTACATTATTAACTGGTTTATTGTTATTATGAAACCAAACGGTATTTAAAAAATATTTTTTGGACTTTAATTATTTACTCGCTTTTTTAATAGAAATCTGGGTCGATTTGTATTTAATTTATTCTTTTTAATAAAATAATAACATATTTAGAAATAAAATTTTATTAATATTATTAAGCGAACAGAAGTATTTATATATTATTTAAGGCATTCGCAAAATATATATCTTTAATTGCTTTCTTTTTTGTACCATTATGATTGTCACAAAGAAAAGAATTTATAATAAAGATAAAATTGCAATAAAGCATAATAAAAAACAACAGATTTTATTAATCTTTGGTATGAGATTGAAAAATAAACATAAACAAATATGCATACCATCGTAATAAGTACATTTTAAAGATTTAAAATAAAAGTTCTTTTTCAAAATTTTCAAATTACAACGCAACTATAAATAATGAGAAAATATTAAAATTACATTTATCTCCTTCTATTTCTGATCATTCATTGAACGTCACGGACAACGCAACAGCGAAATCTCTTTGTTCAAATCGAAATTTTTCCATTGCAACTCTCTTCTTATTGAGAACAGTGACGTTAATTTTTTCAAAAGGAGAATATATTTAGCGTAAAATATACATGACTGACTATCAGTAAAATATGCTGAAAACAATAATAAAAATTAAATTTTTAAACAAAGCTCAATTCTAATTATAATTTTATTATTTTTAAACCATTAACGATATAATTACAATCGTTCAATTTATTTGTATGGTATATGAATTTGGCAATACTTTAATAAAAATATGTTGCCGAGACTTTCATATAAAATTGTCATACACCTTATGGTTAATAATACGATCTATCATTGAGTTCGTAAAATATTTAAAAAGAAAAAAAATTGAAATATTACTAAATATAACAAAAATGTTCAGCTACACATTTAAAGGCTATAAATGTAAATTAATCAAATAAATAAGATCCGTCAGTTTTATTTTATAAATGATATCTTCTATATTTTTCAATCGAGTGCCAATAAAAACAATTTCAACAAGGTTTTTTATTTTTATTTTTATTATAAATTTCGCTAAATATTATTTACAGTAATAATAAGCAAAGTTTTTATGAATTTTATAAACTGTATAGAATATAATATAACTATGTATGTGTATTATATACTAAATAAGTATGTAGTGAAATCCATATTTTTATATGAAATACATTTAATTTATCGATTATATTAATTATGTATTAAACATACGCACAGCAATAACAAAATTTATTAAAACAATGTAACTTGTCCGTTCTAATTTAATCGTACAATAATAAATCCATACATTAAAAGCTTGAAAAATGTTCAATTAATTTAAAAAAATAATATTATACTACAAATCTTTTATTAAGTACATTTTTTCACTCACTAACGTATAAACTATCACATGTATTACAATTTTTCAGCTATCTATTTTTTTTTATTTTTTTTTTTATCATTGTTAAGATTTCAAATAAGATGAAGTATAAAGTGTAAGCTGAAATACGTAAAAAAAAAAAAAGAAGTAAAATTATCTTGCTTTTTATGTATAATATTAAAATTTAAGTGAAGAAGTATGTACCGATTTGTCTTTAATTTAATTAATTAATTTAATCGTTACTACCGATTTATCTACAACATTCTAATACTATTTAAAAAAAAAAGAAAGAATTTTTGGAAATTTTATAGTAAGGCTATTAGACGTAAACATGTAACTTTTTTCAAACTTAATAGCAGTTGTAGAATGAAATTTTATTTGAGTAATTAATTAGTTTTAAAATGTAATAACATTAATTATGAAATATAAATCTTATTTTATTTTATCAATTAAATTTATCGGTTACGAATTTGTTAAAAATATTAATCGGTATTCATAGTAAATATGAAAAATAATATACCTTATACTGTTACTATGAAATATTGTACTTTCGCCACTGCTTTCTCACGTATATTATGAAAATAACACTATTTTCTTATTATACATAGTATTTTGATGATTTTAGCGAGTAGAGTTTTTTTTTTATTTTTTTTTATTTTGGAATATTTAATATATATATATATATATATATATATATATCTTTTTTATGTTTGTATTTTAGTTTAATAGTATATATAAGTATTTCTTATTTTATATATTTATAGCATTCTGAAAAGTTTAAATTATATTTATTACGTTATCTAATCATTTCCTTACGATTGTAAAAAATCATAACTTTTATCGTTTTTCTTCTAATGATTTTGTGAAAAATACCATCGTATATGATTAAATAATTTCATCATTTGTATGTTTTCAACTTCCTCCTAAGCATAATTTTTTTTTTTTTTATCCTACCGATCACTCGAATAGTTTTGACCTCTTTTGAAGCTTCAATACTTTAGTGTCTCGTTTTGTACTCTTCGCGCATGGCTAGGCTTTTGACCCTTAAATCACACCTCGTTTTTCAATTATTTTTAGCCATTTATTGTTAAACTGTTTATATTGTCATATAAAAGTGCTTGAATGTTATTGTTACGTATACGCAATCTTGAATAATGATGATTTGCCATTAATTCCTATATATATATATATATATATATATATATATATATATATATATATATATATATTTATATGATAGCGCTTGAATCTCAGCGTCAAGTGCCTTCGAATGCCAATTAGTTTATTCTTTATCAGATGCTTTAATGTGATATTACTAACATTAACAGTTATATCTCATTTTACTACAAGGGACTTATGTCTGCTAAAATCTCATTAAAAAATTCTATTTAATATCTATTTTTATCTATTTAATAAGCAAGCAATCAAATGACTTATATCCACTACGACTAATAAGACTGCAACTAATTTAATAAATAATTAAATTGGTTTCGGTGCTCCGATATTTTGATATTATCCAATAATTTTTGTCTTTCGGCTTCAGAAGATATGCTCTATTGGTATCGAAAGAATTTTTCTATAAATGATAATAACAATACGTTGCTCGCGTTTCTATACCATTATAATAAGCATTTCTATTATTTCATTATCCACCGTTTTAACAGCACTCCCTTCGTGATTAGCGTTAAAGTCGTGAGCACGAGCCTTGTAACACGCACTACATTTAATTGGATCTTCTTTGTCTATTAAACCTTGGTAGATCTCGCATATATTTCATTTAAATACTACTTTTAACTTTAAATTTGTCTCATTGAAAAACTATAGTCTAGTTAAAGAAAATACAAAAATATAATAGAACGAATAAAGCCATTTTATGAGATTTTTTACGTTCTTTTAACCATTTTTTCTATATTGACGTTTTTCGACAGCAACTTTATTCTTAATGCTACCATAGTAATGTTAGATCTCGTAGAAATTCATCGATTGGTAACAATCATTACCACCACTTTTTCAAAAAACACATATTTACAATTGTCAGTAAATACAGTGGGAATGCACATAAAACCAGGTACAAATTTTATAGAAAAATCAATTAATAATTAATTAAGTTTATTCGTATTTATCGCTATATAATAATATGGTGGAATTTTCGGATCTTAATATGAAAAATTCAGTTTGCAAAATTCTTCATTCGCATATCTTGTACTAATTGATTTGCAGACAAATGCACTTATGCTCGTATGCCATCCCATACATATATACTAATACACGAACATACATGCGCAAACCCACATAATTATAATTAAAATAGTTGATATTAATAAAATAAATACTAAATGAGTAATAAATATATAAGCGATGGAGAATTTTTTAAACATTTAATAATATTAAATTAATATTTTAAGTTTATTATAAAGGCTGACATTAATATTAATGTTTATAACAAGTAGAAAATGTTTAATAAAGCTTAAAAAAAAAAAAAAAACTAATAAAACTATTATTATTATATTTATTGTATAAATTATTAAACAGGGACTGTATGAAAAATTTTCGAACGAACAATCAACTTTGTATTATTTTCGTAAAAATATATTCCCAAAACTTAAAGTGAGTTTAAATAGGAAAATGTTTGCATTAGTAAGGAGCTTGTCATTTAATCACTAACGAGTCAACAATGTCAAAAGAGAAATCGCGAATGTAAGACTTTCTTCATTTTATGAAAATTATCTGATAAATTTGTATATTTAGAGAAAAGCAATAAATTTTTCAATAATTTGGAACAACAAATTTGTAAGAAATAAAATGAAAAATAAATTAAAATAAAAATTTATATTCAATGAATGTACTAGAAACGAAATTAGGAGACATTTATGACTACGTTAATTGTAGTCAATTATAGATATTTATATTTTTTCAATAAAAACAGAAAAATATTTTTTCAAACGAAAAACTAGAGTATTTAGGATAATTTAACGATATCACACCCCTTACGTCCTCTCAATTAAATTAATAATATTTTCATATATATTCAGATGGCATGGGCATTATAAACGAAGTACTTTCAATGAAATACATATGGACATTTTGGAAATTTTAAATCGCATTATATTTGACTTTATGTCAAATGTATGTTTAAGATGAATTTAAAAGATAGAAAGAAGTAAGCAGTTTGTAATAATAAGCTGTCATGTTAGTTATAATAAAAATTGTAGTAAACATCCATAATTTTGTGGAAATGTTAGGAATTTCTTTTAGCAATGATCATAATAGTTAAAGAAAATTTTATTTTCCTTATGGCGCTCTCAAAAATTTCTGATACGTAGGTAATATATTTTTAAGTACATTTTTCTATTTTAAATATGCATTATTTCACGTATTAGTTAGAGACGATAGCCGTGTATATTATAATTTTTATATTAATAAAAAGAATTACTCATTCGACAAGGATGTGTTGATACATTCGGCCTCGAAACAATATGTTATCCGTCGAACCTAAATGGAATATTGTATAGGAGGAAATATTGAAATAGGGATTGTAATAAATTGATAAAGACATTCATTTTTACGAATTATTAGTTTTATTCACTAACGATTGCTCATAATATCATCGTTTCGACTACTCGCTCAAAATTACTTGCTTTCAACATTCTAACTGTACATTTTTCAACTCACAGAAAGCTTAAGGGGATTCATACGTAACGAAAATTTTATTGCTTTTCTCGAAATTTTGTCGTACTGATGATGATGATATAATTTTTTGTCTATATTCATATTTCATATTAATTATATTATAACAGTATATTACAGAGAATTGTATTCATAGTATAATATATTAATATATTATATATTATAACAGAGATGCATGCATTAAAATAATTAATTAATGTTAATTGAAGAAAAGCGGGAATTACGACGCAATTACAATTCTATAGATGTGTATATAGGCGCATGACGGTGTGCGCGTACGAATGCATTTGTTCATAAATGAATAACTACGATATGTGCGAGTTGAGACATCTCCGAGCTTGATTTTCTCTTATAAGAACGACAAAGTCAAAAAAAAAAAAAAAAAAAAAAAAAAAAAAAATTCAATTTACATGGATTCCTTGATTTCTTTATGGAGTAAACGAGATTGAAAGGCAGGTGCATAATAATTAAATAACTGAAAATCAGCACAGAGATTCATTTGAAAATAAGGTATTAAAGAAACGCATGAATTTCTTTAAAGAAAAATGCTAATTTTTGGAAAAATTTCTATTGCTCGTAGCATTGGGGAGCGTTTGAAATATTTTTCTTTTTATACGTATTCATAGATCCTAAAAGCAGAATTATGTGTACTCGACTAAAATGATCGCGCGCGGACTACAGGGCAGATGGCTAACATTTTTATAATTATAAAAGAATCATTTAAATACGCTACCTATGGTAGTCAACGGTTCTGACAAAGGAGCATGTGCATATAAAAAGAGAAGGTCGAAGGGTCCCTGGATTTGTACGAGACGGTGAAGCCGATCCACTAACACCGGATATTTTCTGCGTTCCACCATAGGTCGAATTTTGACAAAGCCATTACAGTCTGCTATACAAATCTTATATTTACTAAAGGGACAAAAGAAGAAAGAAAAAAAATTTATCTCGGCTTTTTATCACGAGATATTGGAACACCTCGTTAAGAGCAATTTGACATGAAATTCACAGTAAGTGAATCAAACAGTGAGCAACTCGATAGGAGCGGATAATTGTCATCTGACATACTGCCCGCGTATCGGAGACATTTTTTTTAATTCGCACGAAGACGCATCGTTGAATAATTCATAACTTTGATAAATAAAAATCCACACTTTTGCCTCGGTTAAGAAAAGAAATTAATCTTACCGTGGTTAGCCTGTTTCGAGGAGCGCGGACAATATTCGAATAATAATATTCGAAATATTTTCATTAAATATGATAATTAAAATTACAACAACAACAAAACTTACTGAGCCTACTTTTACAATATACATCCATAAGATGTTAGCATTAGAAAACAATGAGTCGCAACAAAAATTTAATTTCTATAGTAAATATTACAGATTCCAATACTACCTTGGCAATGCCATCGATACGCTCTTTACGAATTCTTCTCATAATGCTTATGATCATATTTATCATGTAATGATAATGTTCATTTCACGCTTATCAATGAAGGACTTTTTAATCCAATAATTGTTAACGTTATACGATATATATATATATATATATATATATATATATATATATATATATATACATATACATATGCATATACATATACGTATACATATACGTATAAATATAGTGTGTATAATGTCAATTTTTCTACAAATCGCCGGAGAAACTGCATTTTTTTTTTGTTGAAAAGTCACAGCGAAGATATTTGTACGCATTGTTAGTAAACAATTATATAAAAGTGAATATCGTTAAGATAATTATAAGTTATGTTATTCGACATTTACGAGTATCGCATTTGAAAGATTATTTTATTAAAAAATGGAAAGAAAACGTGAATTTTATATAAATTTTACTGCATTTTTTTTTCTTATAAAATATTGTTTGTTATTATTTAACTCGCATGCCAACGATTAAGCCGGTAAACATAATTCTAAGAGTTATCTAAGCAGCATTACAATTGCTAAAGAATGTCGTGCACCAGGCGCGTGTCATTAGGAATATCGGGCTCGCGCAGGATTAGTAGTAAAGAGCATTTAAAAAATTGTCATGAAGCTCAATGGTCAATCGTCTAATTTTTAATTTAATTTAACAATGCCGATACACTTTGAAGGCCGGATAAACATTCGTACGCTCGTACGCTCCGAGCGCAATGTTCCCGATATCATGGATAATTGAGTATGTTTGCCTGGCGTATGCGCAGGTTAATAAGCCGCCTTATACGTGTGTATAAAATTCATCTCTCGTCGCTCCTCCCGCTTAAGAGCACCGCAAGTCCTTGGCGCGCCTCCTTCCAACGCAAAAACGACTCGCCTTGGTGGCACATGCAAGGTCGAGCTCGCCCTTATCCCCCATTATCACTGCTCGTCTCGAATCCCCTATTAGTTGGGGCGAAGCGGAAGCATCCCGACAGGGCTCGCCCCTCGTCAACGGCTTGGGTCCCGCCCGAGTGCCGGCGTAACCGGGAGCTTTTTGCCTCATGGAAAAATCGAAGCCGCATCTCGAGGCTAATAGTAAGTGTAGTGTACTGGCGGCGGATGGGGACGGCGGCGTCGCGGCGCCCCAAACCGGCGCACGCGTCGTCTCGCTCCCTCCCCACCCCTCACACACTCTCTCACACACACACACACACACACACACTCTCTCTCTCTCTCTCTCTCTCTCTCTCACGCACATACACGCGCACAGAGACACACACTCTCTCTCACACACGCGCACGCAAACGCGCGCGTACGCACACGCACGCTCGCTCGCTCGCTCATTCTTGCATTCGCTCTCGTTCCGCGTACTTAGCGCCACGACGGCGCTCCGATTGATTCTCGTATGGCCGGTGGAGGAGCCGCGACGGATGTCGCGCCAGTGGCCACGTGCGGAGGTTAGCGCGAGGCCGCTCTTTTCGTCCGGGAGCAGCTTCGACGCGTGGACCGCGTCGACGAGCTTAAGGACGCTACGGCGGCGCGTGCGTGCGTTCGTGCGCCCCTCCACGGGCGTTTCGGGGGCGCGGGGCTTTCGAACCGGGGCGCCTGGGCCCGCCGATAATTGTCCAGTTAATTTCTTCTAATTGCGGCTGCGGAGGTGGAGGCGGACGCCCACGCGCAATTGCGATCTCGCGGTGAGGGACGGGATGACGACGCGCGCGGTGCCGCGGTAGAAGCCGAGGAGCCGTCGACGGGATCGATCGGGGCTGCGGAGGATGGCGCACGATAAGCAGCGGGCCCACCGCCACGAGGACGAGGACGAGGAGGAGGTGGAGCTGAGGGCGCTGCAGAGGCGCACGCGCTTCCATGTTAACCGGGTCGACAGTATGGAGGGCAGGGCCAGCCTCCTTGGGGAGCAGGAGACGAGGAAGTCACTCAGGAACATGACGCGCGAGGCACTGCCGAGGCTCGACAACTACCGCAACATTCTCAGCATCCAGGCGGCGCATCGGCCTTCCCTCGACGAGCTTCACAATCCTACCCTCGACAAGGTGAGCCTGGCCGCGTTAGCTAGCCCGCATCGTCCCGGGATCGGAGTCATTCCTAAATTTAAGGACGAAACTCGGCATCATCCCCGTGGTGGAGACGAGCCGAGCCGAGCCGGACCGAAACGAATTCCCACCGCCCGATAGAGTAGACGACGGCGGCACCTTGACGGCTGATACTTGAAAAGCAACAGGTGCCACGGTTACAGGGCCATTTAAGCCTCCTCGCAAGATTTTAATGCCACGGAATTTAATAAAGAGCGCGGACTCGAGTCAAGGACGACTTATTATACATAAGTCATCACATTACGTAAATTGTTGTTTCTCTCATTGGCCACGGCCCTTTCGCTCGTCAATTACGGCTCCAACGTACATTCGAACATTCCTTCCAAACTATTCCCATCTCTCTCTCTCTCTCTCTCTCTTTATAATTTTATTTATTTATTTATTTTCCCCCCCCCCCCCACGACTATATATACCATTTACCAACGTCAATTTGCGAGTGCACGATATACTCCCTCTACCCTCGTACTCCTTTCATTGCGAACGAAGCATTCGCAATTATTATGATTTAAAAAAAAAAAATTTGTCTCGCGAAATATTCCTTTTCAGCCCGTTGCCTCGAAGTTTCATTCGGCTACTCGTGTCTTGCAGCAATTCGCAATCCTACCTCGATCCCTTTTAAGAAGCCACTCGTTCTTATTTGCAGCTTTGTGCTTTTTATTCATGCACCGCTGCATCGAACGAAAATGTCACGATGTTGCCAATATTCTTACCAATAAAGTGTCCAACGTCTTTTAATTATACTGTCGCGACAACCTTATATTTCACTATATTACGTTTACTTTTGACAATTTTATCGGGGGCTCGTTTCACAAACCCCCTACCTCCCTCTGCCCTATTTGGGCTTATTTTCTTATTCACTCCAACGATCGAAATTTTACGTTGTCACGCCAATACTATCGACGATAATATAACTTTCGAGACCGTTGCCAAAATTTACAAGGCAATTGTGTTGGATTAGCGAGTCAATATTTGTCTCTGAAAAGCATCTATTCGAGCTTAAGCTCGCAATCATAGAAGCTCAAGACTGTCGAATCTTAATTGCTTAATCATTTAACGACTTAAAAATTTTGATCAGCATTAGAATTGTGGAGTAGTCGGTACACTCTCATGCGGACGTAACAAATATTTTTCCATTGCGTATTTTAAATTTACAAATGAATTGCATTATTATGCTGCGATGACAGTTGCTTATAGGTTCATAAAATCTTAATTTTCATAAAATAAATATAAGGCATATATGTTTACACTCCTTCATTTATCTCTTAATTAATCTCGAAACTTTTATATTACACGAAGATTACTGAATAATACATTTACCTATAATAAGTCTGTAATACAGTTTATAATATACCAATATAGTTTAGTATCGGAGAAATAATTAATGCGTCAACATTGGTTAATAAAATGATATAAAAAAATATTTGCTCAATTAAGCGGAAATAAGATTAATTGATTTTTTGAGACCAATTAATTATATTGCAAACTTTTAAATACGAATTGCATATTAAAGTGAATAAAATATTTTTGTCACATTAATTATTATTAAACAAGATTTTCAAATATTTTTAATGCTACTATACCGTAGTGTTACCGATTCATTTATAAAATATCATATTATATAAAAATTTCCTGTTAAAAGTAGTTAAATTATCTTTAAATTAATTGTTTCGTAATTATTTACAATTAATGTAACATCCATTTTATATGTAAAATCAAAACTCGTTAAAAATATTTTTTTGTTTCAATTAATGTTTGCTTAAAAGCCGATTATAGAAATATTTTGTTATAATACCAGAGCTAGATAATATAAAATATTAAAATGTAAGGATGAACATTTTTTTTTTCTTCTTTTTTTTTCAATTTCAATCGTAGAATGTATATATATATATATATATATATATATATATATATATATATATATATATATATACACAATGAATACGAATAACTGAAATATTTTGCTTATAACTATGATTTAATTATTAATTGCATAAATATTTGGTATTTTATCAATAAGAGTACGTCAATGCGATATACATTTATTCCTTGAAGTAAAAAAAAATTACAATTAAATAAATAATAAATTGATAAAGTTGATTAGACAATATAAAAACGTACAATTACAATAAATTATTTTCAATATGCATTTTAATTAATTATAATAAGTAGTCAAGTATTTATTTACTATAATTATTTCAATTTAAATATAGAAATATATTAATAGAAAATTTAACTGCATTGTGATTTAAAATGATAATCATATACATCGGATAATTTAATTTGTTGAGTAATTTTTTATTTCCAGTTTATTAACGGCATATAATGGAGTACGTAATAAAGCGATTAATAATCTATTTTACTTATTTTAGCGCACAATGTTATTAATACTTTTTTTTTTTTAATAAAATGTACGTGCTCGGATGATATATTCAATTATGAAATGCCAATTATAATTTCAACTATTATTACATCGAACGTAAAATACAATTCGTTACATACGTATAGTACAGGATGATGTAGGAATTGCACTTATATCATATAAATCAATTATTTGAAAGGTATCTATGCTTGCAATTATATCAGCGACTGATTACTATATATGAATATGCAATTTTCAACAAAACTATGATTAGGAAAATTCCTCGATAATAAATACGCTACTTGATACTATTTTCTTAACAAACGAAGTCTTTAATTTAAGATTACTTAATAAAATTTAATTATTTATTTTTAGTTGTTTTAGGATAATATTATAAAACTCTTGCCTCGGACTAGAAATAATTATTAAATAAGTCTTGGTATATCTCTCCTTGACAATAATAAATATTATACTTTAACAGTCAAATTGCTTATTTATTTATTTTATATGTAATTGTTCTATTTACATTTGTGATGAATTTTTTTCATTAGCATAATATATATTAAATTGTGTGACTACCGACTGACTAATAATAGAAAAAGAAAAAATGTCATATGTGATAATAAAAATGGTAATATCCGATGATATGTTCGAGATACATTAGCTTTAATACATGAATTATAAACAACATAATGTAGAATAGAGAGTACAAGTGTGAATAAATGAATATCTATACATTATAAAGAAGATGAAAATTTCATTAAAAATACATATATCCAACTCAAATATTAAATTTAGAAGAGAAATTTTAGAGAAATTTACAAACTATTATATTATCATAAATAATAAATCGATCGATAAGCATCCGTTTAGGATAGTAACATTCTTCTCTCTCTCTCTCTCTCTCTCTCTCTCTCTCTCTCAACGACAGTAAAGTTTTATATTTTTAGTGAAATAGATGACTGTATTATTCATAATGATTAAAAACTCTGACAATAATTAATTTCAAAATTGTTCGCTATTATAATACTAAAGTATATCTTAATGTCAATTAGTTAAATAATGCTGCAATGTGAATAATTAGAATGCTCGATTTATATTATGGGATAATTTAGTTAGAAATGTTTGAAATTGCCTTTACAGAATACAACATGCAATGCGGCAAGAGCACGCGATTCCGTAATACTACATGCAAAACTATCAAGTACTGGAGTGAAATTCGGCTGGATTCAAGGAGTTTTAATACGATGTCTCCTCAATATATGGGGTGTTATGTTATTTTTGCGACTATCTTGGGTTGTAGCACAAACTGGAATAGGTAGGATTTTTTTTTTTTTTTTTTTTTTTTAAGAAACCCTCATTTATTATGCTAAAACCAATAATAATATACAAAATAATGTTTTGACTTACAGTTGAAGCAGTACTACTGATTTTAACAACAACCATTGTAACAACCATAACGTCCCTCTCCATGTCAGCAATCAGCACAAATGGGCTCATTAAAGGGGGTAAAGTGGAAATTACTAGAATTAATAAATAAAAATACGTAATCAATATTACATTTAGTAGCCCGTTAGTTATAATGCCCTTGTCATGATTATTTTATTATTTTTTTTTTTTATTTTTTTTTTTTTTTACTAATACAAGGTAAAATACTACAATCGTAAACAATTTCGAGCGTTATTTGAAAAAATTAATTTTATTTAATAAATGTTGATTGAAAATAAAACTGACTCCATCAAATCCTCATTATTCTATTATAAATATAAATTTTTATATTAAAGGTAAAATTCATATAGAAATTCTTGATATTTCATTTATAATCTATTGATTTATTTTATAATAATTAAAAAAAATTTTACTACTCCGAAGGATATTATTATTCTTGAAAAGAAATATGAGACGTGAATACTTGACTTTCTTAATTAAAATTATTACTAATGTTTTTTTTTTTTTTTTTTTTTTGTTTTTTTTATTCATTAACTTTTTCTCTTATGTTTTTTGTACATTAGTGGCTTATACAATTGAAGATTTTAGCGATGATTGATTTTTGGATTAATTTACTTACTAAAAATAAAGCTACCGATACTTTTTTATCATTGATTTTGTAAAATAGGGGAGCACTCTAGTCGAGTTTTATCGCCGAGGATCCAAAACAATTCAAATGAAATATAATTATAGATGCTACCATCTCCATACTTGAGCAAATCCGATAAGCAAAATTTTCGAATGAATTGAGCTCGATCCGATCTGATAAAAAAAAAAATTTGGGTCTTTTTAAATGTGTCTAGACTGATTTAATTTATAAAAAAAAAATATTATCCTGTTAAACGTAACGGATAAGATTTATATTTGTACATTTTTAGGACTTCTAGGAATGGCTTTTCTAGTCATAGCAGCGTCAAATATTTGCTATTTATAAAATCAAATTGAAATGGTTTTATTTTCAATAAGGTTCCACATCGAAATTTCCTCTTATCCGTCACATTGCTTATGCTAAATTTACGAATACTTTAAATGAATATTTTATATTAAAATAGATAGAGATATTTTAAAATTTTATAATAAAGTAACTAATTTATAATACTGGCACTGTGTAAAAACTCGCATTTTTATTATTAATTAGTAATTGATTTAAAATAGCTGTTAGAAAAAATTTTGTTATAGTTGAATGAACAGAATAAATGTAAGTCAAGGTAATATTTTTTTGCGGTTAAGTGTGCCGATAATAGTAATTAAAAATATTTAAGTTTTAAAAATACGGTCTTCGATAAATCAGCGAGTGTTATAAAAAAAATCTATAATTTTAATTGTTATTTCAATAATATAATATCTAATAGTGTTAAAGCAAATGCATTTAGGTTTTATCTTATAAAAGCAAATATTTTAGTTAACCGTAGGTGAAAAGCCTTTGCATGTCATAATCAATTAATAAAAATATTAATACGTTAATAATAAAATGAAAAAGAAAAAAAATAATAAAAAACGATCATAAATGAACTTCTCACGTATATTAAATATTTGATACTATACGTGCAAATAATAAATATAATTTTCTCTTATATTATCATTATGAGAATTGTCTCATAAGTGCCAAATAAAATAGAATTGTTACTTCAGCGTAATTTTACGTGAAGTATGTCAATTCCAATTAAGATCGCTAAATGTCAGCTTGTTACTAAGAAAAACAATTAATTAAACTTATTAGAATTTCGTGATTAATAAGTGAAATGATTAATATTGAATATTGAATAGAACAAACAGAATTTTTCGCCATAATTGAAAATTTACAAATGCCTTTTTTATTTCTCAGCGTGTAAATCATTTTGTTAAAAATAGTAAATATCGTACCAATTGGTCAAAGCTTATACACGAATTATGCGTTTATTCGTCGATAAATTTACCCTGAAATATTTGAAATGATTATTCTTTTATCAATCAAGGCCTACAGAAAACTTGGTTACCTAAAATTCATATTATATTTATCGAATACAGCGGTTATTATAAGTACATTAGTTAAATGAAAAATCACCAGGTGGAACGTACTACATGATTTCAAGATCACTGGGTCCTGAATTTGGAGGATCGATAGGATTGATTTTTTCACTAGCCAATGCTGTTGCGTGTGCCATGTATGTCGTGGGTTTCTGCGAAAGTATGGTCGACTGCTTAAAAGCCTACGACATTTGTATATTTAACTGCGGCAGCACTGACATACGAATAATAGGTTCGTCTTATATATTTTTAATTATTCATACACGTCCAAATTTAACAATGACCTAATATAAATACATAAATGCCTTTTATTCGATATTAAGGAGTAATAACGATATCGGTTTTATTACTAATCGTTATGGTGGGTATGGAATGGGAGGCAAAAACTCAGATTGGACTGTTGGCTATTTTACTCCTAGCTATCGCAGACTTTTTCATAGGGACGTTTATTGGACCAAAAAACAATGCCGAGAAAGCCAAGGGTTTTATAGGCTACAATGGTAAGTCATCAAGGACATTGTCACTTGACTTTCCCGTGACGTTTATTATCGTCACCTCTCAGCACGCAAACTCATAAATACAAAACTGTGTTCGTTTTTGTTGTTAGCCGAGCTATTTAAAGAAAACTTCTATCCAGATTATCGTAGTAGCGAAGGTACTTCGCACAATTTCTTTTCAGTTTTTGCCATTTTCTTTCCGGCCGCAACCGGCATATTGGCCGGCGCTAATATATCAGGAGACTTAAAGGTACTCTATGCATTCATATTATGCCATTGCGTAATCGTAAGAAAATAATTATGAAATATATAATTTAACGTATCTATATAGGATCCTCAATCAGCAATACCTAAAGGAACGTTACTGGCCGTTCTAATTACAACGACAACTTACCTTTTAATGGCAGTAATGGTAGGGGCAACGGTAGTACGCGATGCTAGTGGGGACATTTCCGACTTAATGGGTGTCCTTAATGCGTTCAGCACAATGTCGCTAAATGATTCGATACAACCTATCTTATCGGAAAATCAGACTAGAAACTGGAGTCCTTATGGCACTGATTTCAACTGCACCGCCAAGCAGCGCTGTAATTACGGAAGTCAAAACAGTTTTCAGGTACCTATGATTATATCATAATTATGTAATATTAAATTAATAATGTTAAATAAAAGTGCTGTTAAATAAAATTAGCTTGTAAAAGGTATTGGCTTAAAAGTTAAATGATATTTATATTTTATAATATAAGTCTGTCGATTTCATATGATATTCACATTTCTCTAATAAACATTCATCTAAACATCAGCTATATAATATCATTGGCTATAAATTATTTCCTACAACTAAAACGATAATTTCCTCGAAAGAGACGATAGTTTTAATAATTTATTATATAATATGTAAATAGGTGATTGAGTTGGTTGCTGCCTTTGGTCCATTTATATATGCCGGATGCTTTGCGGCGACTCTTTCAAGTGCTCTAGCATCTCTCGTATCGGCTCCCAAAGTTTTTCAGGCTTTATGCATGGATAAATTATATCCGGGAATACATTGGTTTAGTGGGGAGGAAGGCAAAGAACCTATTAGAGGATATTTACTCAGCTTTATTATCGCCATTGGTTTTATTCTTATTGGTACGTATATGATTTTAGAAAATTACGAAACAACTCGATGTATTGGGTATTATAATAAGTCGTTTACAAAACAAAAATTAAACATAAGATAATCGTTGGCTTTTGTTGTACCTAAGCATCGAGTTGAAAATTTTTTAATCGAAGAACAATGTGTTAATTTGAAAATTGAAAGATGTTAAGTATGACAATACGCATTTTACTCAATACTTCTAATATATTTTCATTTAATAAATAAATAAATAAATAAATAAATAAAAAATATATATTTGTTTTCTTTTCGAAGGTGAATTAAATGCCATCGCGCCACTTATCTCAAACTTTTTCTTAGCTGCCTACACACTCGTCAATTTCAGCACATTTCACGCCTCGTTCACTAAACCTATTGGTTGGCGTCCTACATTCAAAGTATATAACCTTTTTGTTACCTTCTACTTTAAAATTTAGGAATATTATTAAACGATGTTGTTTTCTCGTACCGTTTGTTAGTACTATAACATGTGGCTAAGCCTCGCCGGTGCAATTTTATGCGTGGCTGTGATGTTTTTGATTTCATGGTGGACCGCCCTTATAACTTTGTGCGTCGTTTTGGCTTTGTATCTAATAGTTTCCTACAGAAAACCAGGTAATCAAAGTCTAACGAGACGCCTAATGTCGATAAAACTGTATTAACACTTTCATTCGCCCGGTAGATGTTAATTGGGGATCAACTACGCAGGCCCAAACTTACAACAATGCTTTAATGTCGGTACAACAACTGGATCGAGTAGAAGATCACGTTAAGAATTACAGACCGCAGATTCTCGTATTGACTGGCAAACCTGGTTCGCGCTCGTCGCTTCTTGATTTTGCACATCACATTACGAAAAATCAAAGCCTTTTAGTCTGCGGTCACATAGTCGAGGTAAGTAAATGTTCCTCTTTCTCAGCTATCCATACGATTTTTTTTAATCCATAAACATATTATCGACATTCTTAATGCATTCCACCTCAGAGTCCTCTTCCATACAAAACCCGATCAATGATGTTATTAAATACAACATCGTGGTTAAGAACGAACAAAGTGAAAGCCTTTTATTCGGTTGTCGACGGGGCAACATTTCAAGACGGCGCTACTTCTCTTATGCAAGCCTGCGGACTTGGCAAAATGCATCCGAATATTCTGCTAATGGGATACAAACAAGATTGGTTGACATGCCCGAAAGAAAATCTAGTTATGTACTTCAATGTCATGCAGTGAGTAGAATATTCTATTAAGTAATTGCTGCTTGCATTATCAGATTTCAAAATTTCAGCCTAATTACTAATTACTAATTTTTTTCATTTATCTCCTATATTGTTAATCGTATGCTTTATCCAGCGAGATTATTCCATTTTTTTCCTTAATTTTTAATAATATTCATGATATACATTCGTTCTTATGAATTTTATATAATTTTACTTATTAAGGCGGCACTGGCTCTGTCTTTATTATTGTCATGAGCATGTATAGAGCCATATTTTCACGAAGATATTTATTTTTAAAAAGTTTTTTTTTTAATTTCTTCCCACATTAGCTGCACATTTCATATGCATATTATAGACGATTTGCTTAGATTTTGTTGATTCTAGGGAATACTTTACGTATTATATTGTGTCCCCTTGTGCCCAATTTCCCTTTTGGAAACGTAAAGTCCCCTGTTCCTTTCATTATGTTTCGAATGAAATACTTGGCCTACATACATCAGCGTATTTATAAACATTTTTCATTTGGTATTATTATGTTACAAAATTTCTCGAAATTCTTCATTCTGTCAATACTATTGAACTAACAAAATTCAATAATACACAATGCTTTGAGAATCGTTTCTAATTTTGAAGATTAAAAAATTTATTGACACGTTAAAAGATCTGTAGCATATGTTTTTTTTTTTCTTTTCTTTTTCTTTTTTTTTTTTTTTTTTCATGTAATTGTATTATTTACTTATTTTGAACATATTAAAGGGAAAAGCATTTGTATTTTTAATTATTCACCGTTTAATGTTTTACTTAAGCAACAGAATTTAAGAAAATTGCTTTATAGTGAGTGTATTTTTCAAACGACTTTCATCTCTCCAATGATCTCAATTTATTTAATTTTATTATTTATTTTCAACATTACTATCGATAATGATATTGAAAAGTGTTTTTTTTTTTCTTTTTTTCTTTTGTATTTTTATTTTTGTATTTGCATCTGTATCTTTGTGTGTATGCCTACATGCATACGTAACGAGATAGACTAGAAAGAGTGAATAATAAAAGTACTTACTTGAAACATCATAAAATTAGAAAAATAATTAACTGTATTAAGCGCAAGTAAAAATAAAATAAGCAAAATTAAAATAATCAAACGAACAGAGTAATATTGTTTAAGATGTTATTTGTAAAAGTTGTTCTTGAATAATTTGCATTTAACATCTTATTCGAGGAATTTAAGGGAGAAATTAGAGTGTAAAATTAACTTAAGTATGTATAATAATAATGTTTTCGTAAAAAGTTCATTATTTAAATTCTTGAATTTCAGTTCATTCGAACAAACGACAAACATTCGGAGTAGTAGATTTAAAATAAAAAACAAAATAACGACTTTTAAATTATGTTATTAATAAGATTATTAATTTAATAAGGTATATAATTAGGTATATAATAGGCTTGAAACTTATAATAGGCTTAATACTATTACATTTGTTTTTGCCTTTATTAGTGGATGAAAATTGAAAATACCATCACATCAAGCTGTTCCTAATGCGACAATGAAGTTGAAAGTAAAGCCAGTGGCTCGGTAATACTTCTATCGTGAAAGCATAAATACGATAAGGCGACTGTGTCTGCATAGTATAAGTTTAAGCTCGTAAATGTTTATACGCGCGACACTACACGTGCGATACCCGAAGCGCTTGAGTGAGGAAAATGGTCTTACCGTTGTAACCATTTACAATTAAAATAGATTATTTTAACGAAAAATTTCTTTCTTACATACACCTTGATTATGAAAATTTGTATTTAGTACTTTAATATTTTGTATTTAGTAACAGGATATATGCTGTCGATATTTTTTTTCACAGAAATGCCAAATTTTTTACTTAGCAAATGCTTAAATTATTTAATTAAGACTCTTTTATTAATTTTGCCGATACTACTGCAAAAACTTATTATGCTAAAAGCATAAATTGTAAAACATATAATTTAGATATTTAATTAAATAGTTTTAAAGAAGGTAATATTTAATTAATTCGTTTTCTAAAATTTAATAAGACAATTGATTTTTTTTTTCTCTTGTCCTGAAATACTTAGAATTTCTACGAATTATTAATAATCTAATGAGCTTATTCATAATTTTCAAAGCGCGAGCATTTGTAATTCTCCATTTGAGTAGCAATTGTCAATGGGCAGTACTAATTACTCTTAAAGTGCCTTAAACTTTAATTCTGAACAAAGATTCGTCAGAATCTTTAATCTTTCATCTGTAAATTGATAAGGAATTTAAATTTATTTTACAGTATAAATACTTTACAAGCGGACAGCATGTATATATATATATATATATACATATATATATATAAGTACACACAAATGTATTCGTGGTTAATCAAAGTTATATAGATTCAGCAAATATGCTTTATAATACGCATCAGCAATTACATGTTTCTAAATACAATTGTATTGGTTTTATTCTAAATCCTTACATAACTTGTAAATTGACAATCTGTTAAAGTCAATTTATCGTTAAAATTTTTATAGTAAAGGTTACAAATTGCTTTATAGTTAAATATATTTTATTGTCTTTTTAAAGACGTAATATCTACGTTATTGTTTATCGAGGTTTCTTTATTTCTTTTATGAATTCAAAGCTCAAATTTGAGTGTTATATTATACAATTTGCCAGATAATTAATAATATCAAGCATCATTAGTAATATAAAAATATATAATGCACATTAAAATTAAGATAAATTCCATTTGTGTGTTTAATTTATTTTTAACGATTGTTTTTAGAAAATGATATACATATGCGTGTATGTATGTATTTGTACAAAATTAAAGTAATTTGTCGAAATTTATTATCTACCTGTAAGAGCTATTATTAGATTATTGCAATCCTTATCATCGCGATTTTAAAACTAAATTGTTGTAGTCTGGAATAAATAATATGCGAAACGAGCAATAACAATATATTATAATAATTTTTTATATTTCAGTAAGGCCTTGGACATGCATATAGCAGTGGCTTTATTAAGAATGAGCGAAGGTTTGAATTATGAAATTACCGAGGAGGATGCTCAGGATTTACATAAGAAAGCAAATAGACTGCCAGCAAATCAAAGCTTTTCACAACTAAGTCAGGGTAAGGTGGAAAAAAAGTATTTAAATCCAAGCTTGTAATTAAAAAAAAAAAAAAAAAAATTTGATATGTGATTTGCATTTACAGCAAGTAGTGTCTCGGATGTCTCGATGCCTGGTAGTCCGACACCTAGAAGAGGAGAAAAGATCATCAACGAAAGTCCCAATCCTAATGGCAATTCAACAAATCGCGACGAACAAAATGACAACCAGAGCCATTTTATTAATATATCAAAGGACGTTTTTAATTCCCTGAGCAAGTTTCAAAAGAAGCAAAAGAAAGGCACAATTGACGTTTGGTGGCTTTATGACGACGGTGGGCTAACGTTACTCTTACCATACATCATAAGCACGAGACGCAATTGGTCCAGCTGTAAATTACGAGTTTTCGCATTAGCAAATAGGCATTCGGAATTGGAATACGAGCAACGAAGGTACGCAATTCAGCAGTGCTATTTATTAACCCTTATTTATTAGGATTAAAAAAATCTTTTTTTATTATACTATACAAGTTTTATTATACAGCCAATTAATTCTCTGTATACAACAAGATACTTTCTCTTTCACAAATACATGATAATTATCTGAAATGAAAAGTGTCTTTCATAATGAGCATGTATGATGAATTATTTCTATTTGTTTATTCGCACACATAATTGTATATCTATGATTACATGATAGTATTACTGTATTTGTACATGGACAATTATAATTATTATGCAATCTTGCAGCATGGCCAGTCTGCTTTCCAAGTTCCGAATAGATTATTCAGCTTTAAAAGTAATATCTGGCATTTCGAAGTCAGCCCAGCCACACACGGTTAACTTTTTCGAAACTCTCATAACCGACTTTATTCAAGATAATACATCTCGTACTAATCCCAATGTCGACGAAGGTTCTGCCGTATTTTCATTAATTTCTTTATTAAATTCACATATCCTTTATATGTGTAATTGAAGAACTATTTGATTTATTAAAAGTAAACTATTAAACTATTTCAGGTGGCGTTATTAAAGAATCCGAACGGATAGCTATGAAGGAGAAAACAAATAGGCATTTGCGTCTACGAGAATTGCTGCAAGAAAATTCGATGGAGGCAAATCTAATTGTCATGTGAGCAAAATCTCTTAAATTATCTTCTCATTGCAATCGAACAATTCTAAATGACTTTTGGTAATTATTGGAATTCATTTTAGGACACTGCCGATGCCGAGAAAAGGTGCAGTATCGGCACCTCTCTACATGGCCTGGCTTGAAGCACTTACGCGCGACATGCCTCCTTTTCTTCTAGTTAGAGGAAATCATACGTCCGTTCTAACATTTTATTCATGATGTGCTTATATATTTGCATACAAAATAACGTAGCATTAACTAATTAAACAATATTAGTATTCAAGATACTAGCATAGATGTTGGTATTGTTGTTTTCAAATAAATGATATCTGATCCATTATGCATGTAAAAATTGTTTTGTCAGCTGTATGACTTAGTGTTATGAAATTTAATAGATGAACTGCAACCGTAGCTTATCCAAAAGAATTGAAAAATTCTTTTCCTTGCATTGTACTCAAAACAATATTTCGATGTATTTGCAGATATATTTTTTTACTATCGTCCTCAAAAAGAAAGGATATTTTATAATTCTATAAAAGCATATACATACATACACACACACACACACACACACACACACACATATATATATATATATTTTTAATATGGCAGTGAAGACGTAAAAGTTATAATTAGTATAACTGCATATACTTAATATTTAATGTAGTTAATTTTAATTCTAATATAGCAAATATGTCGTAATTAAAAATTACATAACGCATTGTATCAATGCGCTACTACTGATAAGTTATATTTATAACAATAACAAAATTTTTAATAAAATATATAAAAAAAAAAAATAAATAAAAAATCTCATACATTTAACTATTTTTTAACGTATGTTCGTATGTTTTAACATCGTCTCGTCTCTATTTTGAAGATTATAATAGAGTGAATTTCTGTTGTTACTTCTTCATCATAAAAATCGAACTCTCTATTAACGATATTAAGCCCTTGTGATATGAATAATAGGACGGTAAAATAGCACTTACTTTATTAATAGAGATGAGAGAAAGTAAACAACAATATCACACGCAATGTACATTTAATTCATAATTTTCTACTTTCAAAGATCCTTGTCTGAATATTTATTCATCTTTATTTATATATTTATTATTATTATTCTTACTCTCTTTCATATAATGGAACTTAATTCTATTATATTTTAACATAGTATATTTTCTTACAATACCAGTACTATCTCATATTTGTGTGGCGGTATTCAAGAATTGCACGTGCAATTTAAACATTCGCTTTTACGACATTCCTCGAACGACAATATTGAACTGTACGTTATTAAATTAATATTTGAATTTTTCAATCGGAGTAAATTAATTTTTAAAAAGTTTATTCAATACACGCGTAAAAAAAATTATTGAAAAGTATAATTTAAAATAGATTTTGCTTTTTTATAAATAATAATTATTTCTGGAATTAAGAATAAAGAAAATAAACAAACTGCACAAACATTAATTATTAATGAGATAATAAATAATATACAGATGCATTATTTTTACAATATTCGGATCCACGGATAATAGATCTAAACGATTTTATATGATAATAAGTAATATTTGTAGTTTTCACTTTTAATAATAAAATTCATTTTATATATATAAACGAATGCATAATTGCATTTACACCTTCTACCTTAGCAAAATTTACAACAAATATTATTGCCTTCATAAACATTAATTATTATGCTTTTTGTTTAGTGTTATAATACTCAATTACTTTAATGTAAATAAATGAAAATATATAAAAATTATTTGCACAGAATATGTTTAGTGTTAAAAATGTAAATGTAAAATGGTCTATTGAAAGACCAATGGTTTAAATGTAATTCAAAACTTGAACATTTTTTTAAATTATGTCCAACGAATTTTGTACGTTCTTATGAAATACGTCAACTTATACGCATGATCAAATATTATTAAAAAAAAAATAAAAAAAAAAAAAAAATTTAACATAAAATAATATCTACACTTAGCGATATCGATAGATATCTTTTATCAAATTTGATAAAATAAAATTAAAAATATTTATCAATAGGAAAGAATGTATCATCATATTATACGATGGCAGTGACAGACGAAATCATTTAAGTTATATTATCTTGATAGTAAATTAGTCAATTTGAAAATAGTAGGTCAAAAATGAAAACTTTTTATTCTAAATGAGTGATTGAAATTTTTAACAATTATGCACTCCCGTTTTCGATATATTATAATTCAATTATTGATAAGAACTTCAAAAATAATAATGCAAAAGTAAATTAACTTTTAGCTAGAAATGTTATTTATAAATTCAGTAATTTTAGTTAAGGATAATTATTAAAAAAAAAAAAAAAAAAAAAAAAAAAAAAAAAAAAAAAAAAAAAAAAAAAAAAAAAATTATAGTAAAAGATTTTATTTATTCCATAACGTAGTAATAGTATATTCGCTAGAAAAATAATCTTCAAGTTCATCGAATACAGTAGATTTTTTAATAATGAATTTCATTTCTTAATAAAACTAGTCATAAAATCTAAATCTATTTCATGCAAAATAAATTAATTTATCAAAGCAAAAAAGATAAAACAAAATTTATTATTACTATTTCTCGTAAACATATTGCATTTAAGAATTTTTTTTTTTTTTTTTATATAAAATTAGTGATGAAATTTATCAATTCATTTGTTAATGTAATAAAATAGTAGTTTTTAAAATTAAGATTATTGGAAAATGTTTAGAAGCCTAAATATAAATGGGATTTTATATTGATAAGAATGATAATTTTTTTAAAATTTTTAACTTTTATTTCTCTCAAACATAGCTAAGAGTAGAATTTATTAGATTTTACGTTATTTATTGTATTATAAATACAATTTTTTTTTTTATGTAAATGTAATATATACTTAATGTATAAAATTTAAGATATATCATTAGAAAAAAATCTTTGCAATAACTTTGAAAGTTATAGAGATTGATTAATATTATTAATATCAATAAGGCAATATATAATCTTCTTATTTTCTAAAACTCTATTTATTATTTCTTATAAATTAACATTATTCTATTATTAGAGTAAAGTACCCCTAATGTTAAAAAATACAATCGTTAAGTAATAATGATTACTAATTTCGGTAAACTCGAAATACTTCAAGTTTTATCTTCTCAAAGCACTGTGCTTTAATCAATTTTCTTTTAAAAACTATTGATTTTTTATAAAATATATTTTCATTTAAGTATAACGGACACAATTTATTAAAAATCCTTAAAGTAACCAAATTGAATGCATCTCAACAATATCTTTCAATAATAATGTGAAAATTTGTTAATATACTAACACACTTAATAACTAGAATCCAGAGCAACGTATCATGTAATCATTAGATAGCGAATTCTTAAAAAAAAAAAAAAAATCAGTTAATAAGCATTTTTATTTTATCATAAACTGTGAAATTCTAATATAAAACTTAATGGTCTCGTATAAGTAAAATAAAAATTGAAATAATAGTTGAGTCAGGCTTCTTTCGTATTCCTTAGTTAAAATTGACTAATTCTAGCCTATACATACACACATATAATACATACAAAATAATGGGTATAATAAATTATTGAATTATGTTGAATTATAATACAGTAATGCCAACAAATTTATTTATAAATATTGCAAGCATTTGATAATATTCAAATTCTCTGTGCGTACATTATAAACAGTAGGTGTTAGTAATTATGATTTTGAAATAATCATGCTTTGAATAAATTTTGTTTTAGTAGTTTGCTGACTTTATACCTTCAAGGAGTTGCAATTTTTTTTTTCACAAATTTTTTAACAATTATCTATTATGTGTAACCCTGACGTGGAACATTTGCGAACTTAATTATTGGCAATGATGTGCGCAAGTGTCAAGAAGTTACCAAAGCATTAAAACCAGGTGCCATAAACATTCATAATTTAAATTAATGCTAATTATCACTGTTATAAGCATGTTCTTAATGTCGTATCGGCACACATAGATACCATCTACGTGATAATGCAGTATCCTTTCTTATCAATCTTCTCTTCAACGTTAACAAGTATTCCCATACTTTGAGCATTTATGGTAAAGATACGATAATCGTGCGATTCTCTCGCTAGTATTTTGTCTTCTTCGTCATTCATTTTCACCGTAAACAATGCATTACTCCAGAATATTTCTTTCTCTCTTTTTTTTTCATCTTCTTAAATGATAAAAATATTGTTTTTATGCTTCTTTGTGTAAAAATGTCTATATAAACTGAAACGTTGGATTAAGAATGCCAATGTGCATATAAAGCTTATTACTCACTAAATGATCTATTTCTCGTTAAAGTAAAGTGTTGTTCTATTTAAACAAAGATGTCATGTACTTTGTAAAAGCCGCTACAGTACTGACGCAAATTCTAATTTGAAGCTTATCAGCTTCATATTAAAGAACTCTGATACTGAAAAATTTGAATACTTGGGCGACCATTAAAAACAGAAACGTGCCGCAGACTTATTACTAATTAACGTTATAGGATTTCAAAATTTTCGTTAATTCTTAATAGCCGTCGCGATTACTGCTCATTCAATTACACGAGATTATAATTTTTCCCATTTAAAATTCATTGTAAGATTAATCTTATAATTTACATTCGTTAATTGTTCTCGCGATTAAAACTCGAATAATAACACTACTGATCGCTTCGTCGCAACAGGACGGAGCTGCAAGAGACATAAATAAATAAATAAGAAAAAAATAATAATAATAAAAATAAAAAGAAGACGAAGAAGAAGAAGAAGAAGAAGAAGAAGAAGATAAAAGAAGAGAAAAATCAAGAGTGCGTTTGACGCTTTAACGTACGAATGTATTTAGTGATAAAAGAAATATTTATTACGAAGTCTGTGGTGTCGTGGCGCGTCCGATAATTATATCGCTCGAGCTCGATTGGCATTAGCAGAATTGCCGAATGATATAAATGGCAATAATAGCGATAGGAGATCGCGGTTCCGCGAGTTCGGTGGTGATAGAGGGTGGGAGGGAGGGGGAGGGCAGCGACCAAACGAGCCTCGTCAAAATGCCCACTCTTATCGCGAGTGAGTCGGTGAGTCGGTGAGTGGGTGAGTGGGTGAGTGGGCGAGTGAGAGAGAGAGAGAGAGAGAGAGAGAGAGAGAGAGAGAGAGAGGATAGATGGTGGGGACCTCGGTGGCTGGTAATTTTTAGATCGGCGATGGCTCGGTAACGCCCCCCGGGAGCTGGAGAACGTTCTCTAGCGGGCGTACGACCGACGCTATCGTCCCTTTGGGATTCGAGCGCGAGGGGCGTGAGTCTCGACGTCGGCGAGTTCGACGTCGATCCGACGGCCGGCAGGTGGCAGCACCTGGCGGCGTCGCCGCTCTCTCGCGCCCTCGGCTTCCTTTGTATGTTTTGACAGTGGCAGCGGCGCGCGTCAGTCCACGTTTAATCGCGCAGGGCGTCGCGCGCGCGGATCCCCACCGCGATCTCGCTCACCGCCGTGCCGTCGTCGCCATGGCAGCGCGTGTTGTGGATGCGTCCTGAGGATGTCGTCGCCGACGCTGTACCAGGAGCCGAGGAGGTATGTGCCGGATGATCGGCGAGGATAAAAAGCGGCACGACAGTGGTGAGTCCCCGTTATATTCTCTCTCCCTCGTCCCCTCCCCCCCTCCACCGCCTACCTGTTCCACTGCCCCTGCGCCGACACTCGCTCGTTGTCGTTCTTACGAGGCTGGGGGATCTCGTCTCCTCGTACCGCTGGTCCGCGATGCTCCGGGCATTTAAATAAAGTCACCCAGGGGCCGTAGCGCATCGTATTCCCAGAGAGCCGCGATTAATGTGGTCCGCGCGGCCCTACTCGGCTTTTCCACGTGTGTCATCGGGAGGAGAGGCGCTTCGCCAGGTCACGAACGGTGCCCGCTCCTGCCGAACTTCTCTTGTACCGAATCTCTCGCCGAGCCTCTCGCCGAGCCTCTCGCCGAGCCTCTCGCCACGCTTCTTTGTGCAATTTTAAGTCGTGCGAGCCAAGCCTCCCGCGCGTGCCGATCTATGTTACCTGTTACCATTACCTTCGCCGACCGACGATCTCGCTTTTAAATCGTTACATTGTTCGCCGAGGCTCGATCGCGAGGACGAGCATCGTGCGAGTAGTGGTTCTGCCGTTGGAGCCTGTAACTGGCAAGCGTACCTTTGTCACCTTTATAGGTTTTCTCTCCTCCATCTCCTCCTCGCTCGATCGCTTTCGTATTAGCATAATTTGACTTTGCGAATTCTGCGGCTTCGAGATGTTAAGGTCACGGACGGCTCACAATGACAATGTCGATCGTTGTTCTCCCGCATTTAAAGGGCATTCCGTTCGTTCGATTATATCCCTTTTCTCATTTTGTTCGCCGTGCGCGCATTATTGCAAAATCCAGTGACCGGCAGTCGAGCTTTTAACCATACTTTCCGCTCAATAATTGAGAGTCCGTTGAACAAAAAGCAGACTTTGAAACTACGAATTGATTATTAAAATTCGTAATATTTCACACCCTCGTACATTTACCTTTATTATCCGCACTTTTATTCATATCGTCTTTTTAGATTATCGATATTGCAATTATTTCATTTTCACATTGGTCACGTCCCTTGGAATTCTCGCTCTCTTTGTAAATTTATTTAATAATCTAACCCAGAAGACTCGTAATAATCTTGTGTAATCTGAAATCTTTGGTTCTGTCTTAATCATAATTTGTCACTGATATATACGCATTTTTTCCCATATAAATAATCGCATTGCCAATCTTATAAAGTTGATAATGAATTACCTACCTACCGTCATAGACGCACAATTATTTATATTGGAAATGAGAAAATAGAACTTTTAATTCAAGACTCGCGTGTTAAGATTTTAACTAATTATTAAAAGCTTATTGACCATTAACGGTACCAATCAAAGATCCAATGAATGGTATTTGAAGTTGACGTTTTTGATTGTTCATAAAATTATATTACATCTAATTATCTAGTCGAGCCACGAATCTAGAATTGAAACGCTTTCTATCTCTTTGGCTTCTCCTTTGTGACCGAAGGAGCTTTGTATGAAAAGTAAAGTTTTCACAAAATGATTTATGCTTTGTGTATTACATACTTAAAGAATCAAGGTCCTCAACATTTAGATTATCAATTTATCAATGCTTTGCTTTCAGATAAGAAATTTAGTTCACATTATTTTATATTGGCATTTACAATTATTAAAAAAATAAAGTACACAGAAAGAGAGAGAGAGAGAGAGAGAGAGAGAGAGAGAGAGAGAGAGAGTGAGACAGAGAACAGAATCTTGATCTATGAATGGATGAGAATATTTTTCATTGTTTTCTTTAAAAAACAAAACAAAAGATAGAAGAAGGGAAAATATTTTGAGAAAAACTGATTCTATCAAGCAGTTAAGAGTACGTAAAGATTATTCATTAAAAAATACGTACAATTTCAATCCTACTACCAAGTAATTACCTCTCATTACTCCCTCCCCTACACCCCCACCCCCTCCTGCGCGACCTTACTATCTTTGATACGTCTATTGTTGGCTGATCGCTTATTATCAATATATAAATTTTTTAAATTATTTATGAAAATAGCTTCACGAATTAAGGAATAATTATGGAACAAATTAGGCTTATCTTTCCTGCAACTGGATCCAATCAGTGAACACACATGATCCAGTCGTCACATTTACCCATCCATAATTTTCGGGATCATCCTAAATATTGTAATTGTAATGTTCAGACTCTGAAGTATAATCCGAGTTTATTCAAGGTAATGCAAAAATCAAGCCCATAGCGACTGAACGACGGGCTTTGTGATTTTCGGATCCGATTCAATAAGCACAATAATACAAAAAGGTCGGATAGAAGAACGTCACTGGTAATTGCGCCACGAACAATCTTACGATAGCGGATTTAATTTCTATTTTATAACCTTTGTTTCAATATCAATAAACTTGGTACTGCGTATAAGCATTATGCATCACACATTTAAAGTATTTTATAGTAAAAATATTTAGATAATAAATATTATGATTATAGTTTGGTTCATAGAGCTTTTTATTCTTTTCCTATTTTTCCCTGTTCTTTCTTTTTTTTTTTATCTTTTTCGTCTCTCTTCTGCTTAATTTTTTTTTCTTTCTTGTTTCTCATTTTAATTTATCATCTTCAATAGAAGTATATAAACATTAAATTTGTGCTCGAACACGTATGCATGCGCGTCCATGCGTGCGCACACGTCCATGTGAAAGTAAAGACCGATTCTTTTCTTTTCTTTTCTTTTTTTTTTTAACACCATATGCATGGCTCTCGCGAGCGTGAATGTTTAATTTAACGAATTGCTACTAATTTTCATTAACAATTTTTATTTGTTATTTTGTGCATTATAAATTGTTCCTTAAGTCTCTTAAATCTTTAAGTATCGCGAGGCATTCGTTACCATGAAAGACATTATCACCAAAAAAAAAAAAAAAAAAAAAAAAAAAAAAAAAAAAAAAAAAACCAATTTAAAAAATAGTATATTTTAATATTAGGAAGTTGTATTCTGAACACAAAAAAAAAAGATTATAAAAAAGAGTTTGTCTCGATACACTTATTACCGTGTCTCTCTAAAAATCTAAGTGAAGTCTAGGAATGTCAAAGCCTGCCTATTTATTGTCGAGATGTCATTACGAAAATAAAGACCGTTACTCGATTTACATGTTATACGTTAATATCACATAGTATTCTTATGGTTTTTCAATATTTTTTATGCACTCCTCGATGATCGTTCTTATAATGAATTTAGAGACAATCGTTATTATCGCGAGAAATTATTATCATCAAGCTTTTTATTATAAAAATGTTAAGACAAAAAAAATAATTCAGCGTTGCCAATTGCGTATGCGCGAGGAATTTACGAAGATTAATGAAGTGAAACCAAAGAAGGTTGACTTTTACAGCGGACGATTGACGGTCGTTGAGGCACATTTGCATTATTGGCTTACACTGGTTACTCAATCGTGGAATGAAAATCTCGTTGCCGGCTCATAAAATTATAAAGGAAAGTGCCGATTTCCCAACAACCTTTGAGCCACGATAACCCTTCGGTTTCTCCGAGTTCCCGGAGATAATACGTAACGATGACTTTCCCAATTCATTTAAATACGAAATCTCATTTGTTGGATGGTATTGAGATTGCCGTGATTTCGAGCTTTCGTATCGTTGTGCCGTTGAAAATGCGAATTTGTCGTCGATACGAGCAATCTGCTAGGGTTGGGAGCTGCCGAGGAAAAAGAGCGAGCGAGCATGCGATCAGCGTATTGCAGTTGATCTTGAAGGCTTGAAAACCTTTTGCGAAAGGCAAGCCAGGTAAGCGGGGGCCCGTGTCCAGCACGGAGAGCAGCTTAACGTTAGAAAGTTGGCCGTTTCGCTGACTCATCCGGTGGTATTGGCTTGATGCCCCTGGCGGAACGGAGCCGCCGCTGCCGCTGCCGCTGCCTCTGCCGCTGCCTCTGCCGCTGCCGCCGCCGCCACCGCCGCCGCCACCGCAAAAAGACCAAGAGAAACGAGAACGACGGCTCCTTCTGCTCCCGAAGGTGGGAATATACGGGGAGGATACCTCGGCGCAATACTCGACCTGGACGAAATATTGCGGAAGTTAGCACCGCCGACCCTGGGCCGGGCTTTACGCAAGAGAAACCACTCGTGGACGCCGCTTATGCAAAAATCCCCTTTCTACTTGTAATACTGACAATCACGAACATTGTTATTCCGAAATTGCAGTATACTAAGACGATGCACGTGTATCACTGATCGATGCGTCATTAATGACGTATCGTTTATTTACTGTCAATTCCATTATATAATACCGGTCGTGGTTAATTACATTATTAGAATATTAGCTCATTATATCTGCGTTATTTGAACTTGACTGCGTTTCGAAAATTCGCTCTCTCTCTCTCTCTCTCTCTCTCTCTTTATCTTTCTCTCGACCTCCCCCCTCGCTTATCTTTATATATATATATATATATATATATATATATATACATATACATGTGTGTGTGCGCGCGTCCATTTACATTTTTTTATTTGCACCGTGAATTATATAACTTACTGGATATATATATATATATATATATATATATATATATATATATATTTAATAATTTTAGAAATTAAATTTTACAGATTATTGAACAAATATTTGGAGAGTATATGTAAAATTAAAGCCCAGTACAAACAAAAATTATTGCTTTAATTATAATTATTTCATATGAAAAGTCTTTGATTATTTTAAACGAATCACGAGATAAGAATTTTCGGCTATCCGAGTATTTATACTTTCGCTCCCATATCAATGTAATACACCGATAATTTAAAACTGATTGTAAATTTTTCAAAATTTTATTTTGCGATTACACTAGTAGCGAAAATATGAAGGAACATAAACAACATGTAATGTTTTACACGTTATATTTAAATTAAATAGACTTAGTGTGCTTATGTTCAATAAAGATATTTAAAATAAGCTATCAAATTTCAATATCTAATAATATTTTCCAGTATAAATGAGCTTAATTTTTATTCTATTATGAAGCAGTGTAAAGTTTGAAAATCTCATCTT